TGCTTAAGTTTAAAGATTAGGCCTAGTACTCACCTGCTTACCGCACCGCGCAGCAGCAGATATGACAGAAGCAGACGAACTGTCACGTTCAGTCTGGTCCCAACCTTTAGTCACTCATTCGCCTCACTCCCTTTGACAGATCTACAGTATTTATATAACGAGCAAGGTACCACGCAGGAAAACGAAGCGCGTACGGTAGAAAAGCGCCGCCTGGAGACATTCACCAGCAAGGTGGCAGCTTCTTTCATCCCCGGGGCCGGGTGCACCACTAGAAATAAATTCCCATAGACAGCAGTGAAAAATCCCCATACTTCACAAATATTTTGAAAATACTCACAACTCTCACAGGTGTTCAAGCTGCACAGAAAAATGATGTTCCACATGTCCTCTTTCATTTTCCTTTCAATTTTCGGTGGGTTGACCAAAGAATATTTGAGAAAGCAGACCACCCCTAAAATGCAGAAAATGTCCCTGTCCAGAAAAGTAGCCATTTGGAAAAACCATCCCTCGGCAAAATGGCTCAAATAGTGCCACTTTCAAACCCAATTGCATCCAAATTGCTCAGAATCGGAAGCCTCGAGTCCGGGCCAGAGGTTCAATCTCATATTTCCTCAATCCCTCAGTTCCATGGCCCTCAGGACCCTCTAATGTAGAATATTTTACTTTTATTAATGAGCTTGGCGGACATATTTCTGGCCTAAATACGAGGGTGCACCCCGGCCCCCTGCGCCGCCCGTTCGGGCGCCAGGAGAGGGTTGGTTAGGCCTACACTGATGCCTTTGATTCGCACTATGATTGGCTACTGTGTGCACGACCTCCGAGTGCGAGGTTATGACTTCCTGTTAGCGAGGTGTTATTTAAAATGGCAATGCTTAAGGGAACCAGGAAATAGAAATATTTGTATAAATTTTACTAAAACCCTTGAAATTGCATCTTTGGGTTTCAATTAAGCTGATTTTAAATTTTTGTTTGCAATTTTAACCATATTTTGATGCTTTTTTGGTTTTCATGCTAATGCTATTTGCATATTCACGAGCAGAATTATGGTGTCATCCAAGGCGCTGAATCTCAATGTTACACTCATTTGTGCACAAATTTGGGATTCACAATTTGAACATGAAAACATGCAACCATGACCTGAACCACGTCTTCCCGGATTTACATCAAAGCAAAAGTGCCCTCACTTTTCCAGAAATGTTTGGTCAATTTCTAATGTTTGAAAAAGTGCACCGTTCAGTTCACGTAACTCAAAAAGATGTCAAACAGTCTTCATACACAGAAGAAGAGTACAGTGATACACAAAAAGTGATTCTAAGAAAAATTAATTTCCTTGTTCCGTTAATGAGTGTCGGCTTATACGATAAAAACATGGCCTTGGATCAATCATGGTGATTTATCTTCTTTTTAAGTATCACTGATCACGTGTCTTTTGGGCGATACATTTCAAATCATTGGTTATCCTGATCAATTTTGGATGAACTAATAAAGTGCAGTGAAAACGTTTTCAGCAATGAGGAAAAAAGACAATATCGAACTGAAAACGCAGCACTGAGCGACCTCGCGCGCCTGACAGAAATTTACCCACAATGCTCTGCGCTGTGGCCCTGTGTGACTTATTTCCCTCACTAAAATTTTCCCAAGGCCATCAGCCTAAACAGGGAGCTGGGCGACGAGCAAAGGTGGCAGCTCTCATTGGAAACAGATAACGAAAGGTCTGTTACAACATTCCTTCCTCCAAGATTACACTAACCAAGAAGACTTCTTTACAAGGGATCGCCCAAACTTCTTCGGGCCCTCACTCCCCGCGGTTCCCTGTATGCGAAATAGACGCTAATTTTTTTGGTGGTGTTTTTCTTTTTTATATAAGGAATTCAGAAATACTTTAATACGTTAACCTCTATTTCTACAATTAGTCCCAATTATAGGACCTAAATTTCCTTTAAAGAAACACACTAAAAAGTGCCTAGGGAGTTTTACTTAATTCCAGAATTTGAAGGTACAGGTGAACGGCAAAGGAGCAAAACGTTCAAGTTGTTGGAGTTAGCTGAACGCTGTAACTCATGTCTCTAGCTTTGTTTCATATGCCAGCAATCACCGACGAAGGTTCACTTGTCGCCCACCCCGGCTCCCAACTTGGCGCTGGACGCTGGATATGCGAAGGGCCGATGGCTTTGCACAGATTTTCAACGAATCAGCAAGGTTGGCTAACACACACACATAGCTGCGTGCGCCGAACAGAAATGGGAGATTTTGTAGCCACGTTTTTTTCTACCGGTATCAGGCTTTAAAGTTCAAACCTTGAAGTTGTGTCGCCCCGACGTGTCAGGCTACTATTCAGCTTGTGAACCATGTCAAATGTCTCGATTTCTGGATACATCCAAGTACAGTATTTGGTCAGACAGGGCGGCACGGGAGAGACCTGCTTGACTGACTCACGTGCGCTGTAGCTATATATGGCACAGAACCAATGGAGGCTTTGCGTGATAGCCATCCTGCAGGGCAGTTCTTTTAATGCACGGGCCTAGGGAAACCTCCTTTGTGCATACGCTGTGCCAGGGGAACAAAAGCACTGGCATGCAAAATGGCAGCCACGCATACCCTCTACAGGAAGAAATGTTTATCTTGAATTTTGTCCAAAACTAGTCAGGCCTGGAAACCTGGGAGTTGCAGCAGCCTGTCAGGCTGCAGCTGTCCTGCAACCTTCAAACAAGGCCATTATAGGTCCAAGAGACTGCAGAAATAATGTTTCTCTTACACTGAAATTTCTACTTTTTTCTCTCCTATTCTCTTCATTACAGTGCCACACTGGGTGATCTCACGCATTATTTCCTTGCTGCACCCACGGATTAGGTACTTCTATGTTCGTCGTACGTTGAAAAGAAAAAACCTGCTGACCACAGCCATTCGCAGTTGCAAAAATTTCATTAGTATAGGCCTACGCAAGTACTTCTATGTTGCGTTCCTTCTCTTTCAAGCGTCGCTGAATTGAATTGGGTGATGATTTCTGAAGAGTGTGAAGCGGAGCGGACGGAATAGGCCGAGTACAATTTAAAATATATTATTCAGAACAAATTGACTCTTAATTATATAGCTTCTAGGAAGTGCTTTGACTGCTTTCAACCTTTGTCACACATCTGCCGAGAGGATAAGCCCTAAGCGGTAACCCGGCCGTTCCAATCGCCATAACGTCCACAGTAATCACCGGCACTAAAGCTGTCTATCGTTTCATCCACTAAATATCTGCTGCTCTCGCCCTATAACTGTCATCGTCTCGTATCTCGGTATAATACTCCAGGCAATTTCTTGTGAAGTTTCAACTGGATACCTGATTAATCGACGTGGTTTTCCTAGTACATGCAGTAGTAGTAGAACGCATGTCACACGTCATCCTGTGGATATCAACTTAATGGAGGCTTAATGGATCAACTCAGTGACCAGGTTCGTTGCAGGTATCCGTGAAATTTGTTTGAAATAATTATTGTTTTTGTCTGTTACTAGAACTATATTCTATAGTTTCCTTTTCCATAATTAGTCATCATTATTTTAGGAGGCGTCATTGCTTCAATGCTCCTTATTTTTCATTTGTATTACAGTTGGTAGCATTACAGTTGGTAGACCTATTTACCTCTCAACATTCATTACAATATTACTCTTTCTTCCAAAAGCATGCTTTGTCCCAATAGCCTGCACGGTGCACGCACTAGTACGTGTACGCGCTACAGACATAAATAACCCAGGTTATTTACATGTATGTCTATGGTGGTACACGCATAGTACACGCTGGCAGAGTTCGGGCGGCTTCTTCCCGTATGTTCACGAACAGCTCGATTTGTTGTTTGTCGGTCGGCCGCTCGAACGCCGGGAACAAACAACCGGTTATTACATGTAACATGGCGGCATCCATGTACCTTATTCGAGAGTTAAGGTTTGGATGGGCTGAATTCTTTTCTATATTCACAGGAACATTCATTTCTGTGTTTCGGAAAATAATTAAGGATAATTTGCAAAACTTCCCATTGTCTACATGGTCTATGGCTTTGGAAGCCATCTCTCTACTTTTTGCAGCTGCTCAAAAATCAAAATCTCACGAGTTTTTCCGTGTGTTCCTGTAAAACCCTGACCAGGAGGTGGTGTGTGATCCTGTTCCGAGAACAGCGTTCTTGAGTCGTGTTCCCGCTGTTCGCGCGAGAACAAGAAACCCGTGTCAAGAACAGGCCGCCCGAACTCGACCGCTAAGTACAATAAGTGGAAAGGGCGCCCTCTGTTAATGAGCTCAGCGTTAAAAAAATAAGTAAATAGAGGGCGCCCCATATGCCTGCGCGGCGCGGCGTACCGTTGATAGGTTCTTCTCTCTGCAATGCAATACAGTCATTGAAAGAAAAGAACTGAAGGAAATTGTTTGACAGAAGATTGGTTCAGATATCAACTACTAGGCGCCGTAAGAATTTTGCCTTACCCGCTCTCCCTCGGCATAGTCTTTCTTCAGAACTCATTTTTTTGCACATAGCGTTATTATGGTATTGTCTTGAAACTGTATTGTATTGTCAGTGGGCCTTACTTCGAGAACTGAAAGTCACTGCTCCATCATACTCCGTACGAGTAAGCGGTCACTTCGGCACCTTGCCAACTCGGCACCTCTCAAACGCAAACTCGGCACCTACACTGACGGAACATACGCAGTATGCGGTAGATAGAGTAAGACTAAGAAGGAGAATGAGGTACAGGAACATCGCACTAACCAACCAACCCATTGTTTGGAGATTTTATTTTTATATTAATGGAATCTACACCTCCAAGTCTTTATACAAGAAAAGTTTCGAAATTGACTGTTTTCTCAAATAGGGGTATGTCTTTTAATTTGAGGTGCCGAGTTGGCAAGGTGCTGAAGTGACCGACATTCGTGCGACTCTCTGCCAACACGCTTTACATGGTGGCCCAACGCTATGGGATTTTGGAATCGGATTGTTGTGGTGAAATTATTCACTGGTGTAAGAGAGCTTAGGCCTAAATCAAATTTTCCCCGTCAGCAAAGCTGATTAATCTATAGGCCTACCTTTTAAAAAGAGGGATAACAAAGTTTTAGAGCACGAGACGGAGTATTTTTGATCAAAAAATGAGATTTTGGCTCACACCAATTTTTCGCTTCCACCCATTGACTGTCACTTCATTCATGCCGTTCGTGTTTCTATCAGACTGCGCATGCGCTATCAGTTGATCTTGTCTGAAATCTCCAACTTGACTCTCCTTTTCTAAAACAGTCTTCCACTACGGCGAAGTAGAAAGAAAAGGCTGATGGCAGAACTATCGCCAAAATGTGCAGTGAGATCGACGGACTGGCAAAGATTGGGCAATCTCGATAGGCTGATTCCACTCAACATAAATACCGTGTGCCTTGCCACAGTCTTTGCCTTAGACAATAGGCCCATGTACATCATGTCATGTGGGTCAGTGAATTAATCATCCTAGTATCCCACTCGGGTATAACCTGAATGTGAACAGTGAAATGGATACCAATAGAACTCAAACTGATTCTTATCAAAAATGTGAGATTAACAAGACCTGAGAAACCAAGATTGGGCATTATCTTAGTCCATTTTGACTGCACACTTTTGTGCTCTCCCATCTTCCAGTTAATGTCATAAGTGGAGCTTTGCCCATTTATCATTTGCTTTCTCCACACTTAGATGGCCTGCTGAGTTATCCCTGTGTTGCAGCAGGACTGATCATGTCCGAGGTCATGGAGAAGACCTTTTCCTCGGTGTCCGGCTTCATCATGAACAGCCTGGGCTCCAGGAACATGGACGTGTCGCCAGGGTTCCACAACCTGATTCGGAGCATCAGGAGGGCCCGCTCCAAAACTGTGAGTGCAGCGGGATCCAAGACTAAATTAAGGATGGATTTCTTTTTATACGTTCTTCTTGTTTTCAAACAGACTGAGGTACCATCAGGAAAACGCTCTGGAATGGATTTATATTCCGATTAGTTCCTGTAAGGGCAAAATCGGTGTGTTCATCCATACCTTATTGTGCCCCTTCCCCCAGCTAAAAAAAATATCTCACAACCACTCTCAACCGTTTGGGCAGATTGAGACACTGTCCCCTAGAAAATATAAACCATCTTCATTAACCTTCCAAATCTTACGTAAATGCATGCACGGTTTCAGAACAGTATTGTATTGAAATCAACAGGATGATTTGTGTCTGAAGGGAAGTTTCCCCTTCCCACCTTAGAAAAAGTCAGTATAGATCCCCATGCTGGTGTTCCAGATTGACAAAGTAGCATTTTGCCATTAATGAACAAAATAGTGCTACTCCAATTTTTACACCCATTACTTTGAGTGCAGCGGTATACAAGTGATCATTTTCCGCTGTCGGATTTCAGTCTCTAGAAGACCTGGTCAGTCAAGTCACTCAATTTTGTGTCCTGAATCTCATCCAGGAAGAAGAGAAGGCCATTCAGAAGGAGTTGGAACTTCTGAAGTTGAAGCTGCAACAGCCTGACACGACTGTGGTAAGCAACATAACCTAACCAAAGGTCTCCCACATCCCTCATAATCCATCAGGGTCTTTTAGAGGATTTTGCACAATTTAGGAAGGTGGGACCCAGACACTGTTACTCTTACTGAGGCTTGGTGTTCCTTGAATTTTCTAGGCAATGAAAATTTTGGATAATGTCAAAAAGTTTGTACCAACGTAGTTTGAGACCTTACTGGGAATAGTAACATAACATACATGTAGATCATTTGGTTCAACAGGATGGTGTGTACATGTATATTGTAAAGCTCAGTGTGCATAGTTTATATTATAGCTTAGCAGTAGTTCTTGACTATTGCTAAGCCAAATTTTTTTTTAATACTGTTGTCCAAAATTTGTCATCTCTGACTTCTACAGGCTAAAATCAAGGAATACCTGGTGCGGATCATGTATTGCGAGTTGCTTGGTTACTCAGCGGGGTTCAGTTACATCAGCGCAATCAAGCTTGCCCAGCAGGGATCACTGGCCACCAAGAGAGTTGGTAAGATGTGAGAAAGAATATACCAGGTAGCAAAACCCATGGAATCCCACGACACAGAGGCTTAGCCCTAACAGTCCTCGATCTTTCACCTGTTGGAGGACCGAGGACTGTTAGGGTTAGTGTGGGAATATGTGTAGTCAGCAAGCTGGATGCTCAGGTTATCGGTCATGTGGTGGCGTGACACTGGTTTGCTGTGCATCAGTGTACTGTGTGAATTCAGTTACCATTTCTGTAAAACTTCTTCCCTGTCAATTTAGCAGGGCTTCATGACTTTTTGTGTACGATTTTTTATGGTTGCAGAAGGTAGATTCTAGCAATCATGTAATTTAGGATGGGAATCAATGTACCTTGACATTTTAAATTACCAAAAAAATTGTGCTGTAGGTTTCCTGCTCTGTAGAGGTTTTTGAAAAATCTGGGAAGGTTTCTGGCAAGGCATTGCCTGGGAGGATCTCAGGGATGTCTTGCATTTCGGAGTGTAAAAGATATTTTCATGGAGCTAACCATTCTGAAATACACACCTGCCTTTGCTACACTATGGAATAACCAATAACAGTTTCCAGATGGCTGAACTTGGTATACACCCATTTGTGTGATAAACCACTTTAAGCATCCAGTACCAAGCAGGTTCTTTTTGAACCTCTTTGGTTGAACTGTGAAAAGAGATGACAGTATCCTAGGATTATGGAGGATTCAGCTGTCAGCATACATGGCTGTTGTTAGATTGTGTTAGATTCAGCAAGCCCTCAAGGATTCCTGTCAAATCTGCTTGAAGTCAACAGAGTGTATACGTACACACTCATTCACATTGCCTAACTTGTGTGGACATGGCTTTGCTTTTGTACTCAGGGAAATACTCATTTTTCTTAATCTGTATAGACTGTCAAGCTGGATTTTTCTCAACAGTTCCCCTGACTGTAGTGTACCTCTTTCTTTTCCTACGGATAATCCTAACCAGTAAATGCCTCTAAAACCATTTTCCAGAAAGGGGATAACCTCGTGTGGACTTGCTTAATCCACACAAGGTTTGCACAGCCTGTTTTATGTGGACCACTTGTATTCAGGGGCCTACACTACTTATATGAGGTTGGCATTCAGTTAATACCAGCGTCTTTAATCTGCATGACAGGCTACCTGGCCGTCGGCCTTTTTCTCCACGAGAGTCACGAGCTGATCCTGCTGCTGGTCAACACCTTGCAGCGGGACCTGACCAGTACCAACATGCTGCACAACTGCATGGCGCTGGGTGCCATCTGCCAGCTGATTGGCCCCGAGATGGTGCCAGCCATCCTACCATTGGTGGAGGAGAAACTCAAGCATTCAAAGTGAGTACTCACTGGCAGGTCTAGGGGGACCAATGAGGACCTCCCCCCCCCAAAAAAAAGAGCAAACTTGTTCTTTTAAATTAGAGGCCAAATTTTTTGCTTTTTGATTTCCCTTCAGTCCAAAAGCATGTAAAAACCCTATATGTACCCTCAACCCTCTGAAAGACCGTAAAATATTTATATAAAAAATTCCCAATTTTGACAACTATTTTGGCTCCCAATAAAATTGTTCCTGCATCTGTCCTCTCGAGTTCCCACCTTCTCCATTAATGACAGCATGAAAGCCTCATTGTGGCAGTGAATACAGTATATGTTCTACAGTGTGTAGAATGTATCCATAGCCAAGTGTTATCATATTGTTTCTTATCTCGAAACAGAAAGGAAGACATGGATTTTGAATAGCCAGTGTGAGTGCCATATGGCCAGAGGCTGGATTTGAATCTGTTGTCTTGAGCTAGGTCTGTGTCTTTTCCCATTGGAAGGGACGCAAACTCATGAACAATAGACGTAGCCCTAGATACAAAAGCCCATTGTGGAGACTTCTTCTAGTTGACGCTACTCAGCTCTGATGTGACTTGAGGCGTTGTTACCAAAGTTGTGTCAATGTTGTGATAAGCTTCAGCTACCGAGCTCGATTCTGGGTGGCATGGACAGCCTGGTTGTGTTGAAGGCCAATGGTGTGAAGGTCTTCTTTGACTTGGGCAATGTAGGTGTGGCAAAGAAGACAGGTGGGTCCAAGAAAATAGCCAAAGGCACCTCTGGTCTTCGAAAGGCGTGGTGAATTAGGCAAAGACGGCTTCTTAGCAGGGTGGTGGTGGCAGGTGGTACCCGTGTTTGAGCGTACAGGTTGGATGAAGACAGCAAAACTGGGAAATGCACACCGAGGCAGTAGCGCAGTAGTGTTGGGGGAGACAGCCAAATCTGATGACCAGAATTAGAAGCCATTAATTATATTATGGGACTCGAACCCACGACCCCCTGCTTACTAGTGCAGATGTCTTAACCACTCGACCACCGAGCTTGCCGGGGTCGGCTGGCCGGTCCGAGTCAAATGAAGCAGCAAGTGAACTATGTTCGAGTCCCACCCGAGTAAGCTTGCGAGGTTTTTTTTCGCAAGCTCTCGGACAAGCACTGAGCATGCAGTGCTTATTAATATACGTTGGGTAAGGGCAAACCCGTTATATATAATTAACATCTCCCCAACGCAAAAATACATCTTGAAAATAGAAGCCATTAACTACTTTGGTCACTTACCTGATTACAGGTCACAAATATGGTATCAACAAACTTGCAAAACTGCAGAAGCACACGAAGATTGGAAAGATATTGCAATCTTTGTATTGTTTGAGTGGAATTGAACCCATAATTCTGTCTGTTTTACAGAGCTCTAGTGAGGAAGAAAGCCATTATGGCCCTGCGCGCATTGTACGCCAAGGCCCCCCACATGCTGCAGAACCCAGATGCACTCTTCAAGCAGGCACTGTGTGATCGGGACTCGGCAGTGACAAATGCAGCCCTGCATGTCCACAGTGACTTGATCAAGGTAGCACTCTCTCTTCCATTTTACATTCCTGTGTAAATTGAGGTATAAACATGTACCTGTGTGAATAAGCACGTCAGTATCTGATTATTCCATTACTTTTACCAAAGCGTTTTTTGACAAACTCTGTTAACGTTTCTCTAATGGTTGTCAGGTTTGTTTGAAAACCAAGGATATTTTGTTCACCTTTGTGCGCAGGCATTCACCACATTGAGGGAACGGTTTGTGTTAGGAAAGTCAAGAACAGTAAAAATTTGTCATGGTAACGTTTTTTTGATCCCCATAACATTTGTTTTAACACGCATTACACAATTACAGAAATACATATTTACTTTTAAGTTACTACTGTTTAAGTTTCAAAATTTACTTGTCTCTTACTTTGATGGGGAGGTGGTTTGCCGTTGCAAATTTTTCCCCAGCAAATTTCTCATCAGAGGCTCACTTTGTTTTACCTTTCAGGAAAACCCGGCTGCAAACAAACAGCTGGTGCGCCCTCTTGTGGCAGTTCTGAGGCAGGTCGCTGGTCACAAATTGTCGTCTGACGTTGAGTACCACGGCGTTTCAGCCCCTTGGATGCAGATCAGACTCCTACGGATGCTGGCAAGATTGGGCACAGGAGACGAGCAGTGAGTATACAGCGTAGCACGATCCACTTCAACGAGAGTCTTTGGCAGTAAATATACCGGTCTGTGATCGTTCCCTGCTAGACTAATGTGTGCGTACTCAAATAGAGGCAAACTGTAGTTCACGGGTCATGTGGGGCCAGTGTGTTTGCCGTCACAAAGCATCTGAAGTCACTTGTTGCCGGGAGTAAGTTCTTACCCTCTAATGGTAAGGTTTGTACAGTCCTTGTGAGGGAGGATACTGTTGCATTGTGTGGACACGTATGAGATTAACACATCCTATTTGAAACAACATTGAAGGCTATTTGAATTAGATTGATTCATTTTTGCAACATTGACCAGGGCAAACCAAGGCCAACGTTAAAGTGTTTGGAAAACTGCGGTACTGCACCAGTTGCAATAAAAGTGCGCATGTATTAATCTATGAGGACTCAATTTTCAGAACTTGTTAAAAGTGTATGATGGCGTACAGTACATATTGGCTTTTTCTGTCTATGGGCAGTGCACAGAATGGACTGTTTAAAGAAAAGAAAGCACTTCCCTGTTGTATACCAAAGCTTTTGGTATTCCTTCCTTCCACAGCCATAGCAATTTAATGTATGACCTCCTTGATGACATGATTGAGCAGACTTCAACACTGAGCCACAATATTGCCTATGGTATGTTCAGCAATCTCAGTACTGTCACTTTCATAGTCTTTATGTACAGCTGGGTTCCAGATCTTAAGCAATTCGAAAACCAATGAGTATTTATAATATTTAATTGAAAACACTCAGACTGTTTCAGACAAGAATTGTCAAGCTGAAGTTTTCCTGTCTGCCTTACATTCTCAATACTGACAGGTTTACCTTATCAGGGCTGCAGTTTTTGCGGATCAAACTCATTCACATGTCCTTCATTTAAAGATGTTTTATTGCACAGACTCTGAGCAGGAACTTTAAACAATCAACATTGACTCTGTATATGCTTTACTTAGAAAAGTCAGGTATACACATCATTTGCTTTGCACTGTTCATAAATGTATAGAGCAAAGAATTTGCTTTTCAGATTTTCAACTGAATGTGCACAATTTGTCAGGCTCTCTCCATGAGAACTCACCCGAGCATGGTTTTGTGGTGGTAGTAGCAATTAATCCGTAATAGTTGGCATTATTATCATCAAAGAATTGCTTCAGTACTGCGTCCACATGCCTCAGTATTGTTATCACCGTGTAATTCCGTTTAAATCGACACCAGCGACGGAGGAATTTTCTGCAATTTGTTTGTCTTTGTCAGCTGTGCAGTATGAGTGTCTGATCACTATCGCTAGCATCCATCCCCATGAACAGCTCCTGAACAAGGCTGCCCAGTGCATCCGCAAATTCCTGAAATCGTTCAACTACAACCTCAAATACATGGGTGAGAATTATTCGCTTTGTTGACTGTAGTGTTCAGAGATACTTGAATGACTCATTTACTTGGTCCATTTTGGGGAGTCAAATGGAGAGTTGAATGGGGCCATAACTTGGACTCAGACGTGAATCACTAAAACAAAAATTCAACTCAGCTAAATGTGTGTGGACACAAACTCAGACTCAAATTCCTTTTTTCCAACTCAGCTCAACAGCAAAAGGCCCAGTACCCACTGCCTAAGCATGATTTTTCTGTGGAATATTGCCGGAGTTTATTTAACCACTTCCTACCGGGGACTCCGGAATCGGAGACGTATGGTTTATATGCGTGGCTCGGCTCTCCGAACTCGGACAAAGGAAACAGGGCCCTGTAACAAAAGACCGTACTCCAAACAAAAGACCAGGCTGCTGGGCATTACCGACATTTTTCACTCTGTATTGGCCTGTAAATTGTTGTGGCGACTCTCGAGGGGATTTGAGTACACTTTGTGTGCTGTTGAAGAACAGGGGAATTGCCACATGTACAAGGTCGTCGGTTAAGGTTTCAAATCATTTAATTTCTAGTGATATTCAACATTGGTCGTGGTGATTGTGACATTTTTGGCAGGGATTTGTGCCTTGAGTGCCATACTGAAGGTGTTCCCAAGCTGTGGGGAGGAGCACCAGATGACTGTCATAGACTGCTTGGACGATGCTGATGACACCATCCGCCTAAAGGTCAGATATGATCTTTGTCAAAAAGAGCAGCTTGAAGTAAATTGTTTGAAATTATGCTTGTATTATTATTACTATGCTTTGCTGTGAGGACATTTTTTAGATTATCGGAAAATGGTACCACTGCAATAGATCGCTAATGATGTGCTGTTTGAATCACACTTCAGTGACTTTGTTTCATACAAGTTGGGTTTAAGTCCATACCTCGGACAATTTGCCTACAGTCTAAAGGAACAATTCATTAAGTTAAATAACATGAGAGCATGGGATTTTTCTATTCCCACCCCAAAAAGAGGGCAAGGGAGGAACAAGAAAAAACAAAACGAAAAAGGTCCACAATTAGTGACTTGTGGTAAACCTTTTGATTAGAAGTTCCTGCAATTTTTTTTTTGCCAACAATTCCCTCAGCAAACAAATTCACATGTCTTTGCTACTTAAACATTTTATACAGACCCTAGACCTCTTGTTCCGCATGACAACTAGTACCAATATAGAGGTGATCTGCGACCGACTTCTGACGTTCCTACAAGGTACCAGGGATGCGTTCATCAGACGCGACCTGCTGTCCAAGATAATACAACTTGTTGAGCAATATCCTTGCATGTGGTTTATCTACCGTCCATTCTTAGGAATTGAAAGGTTTGCCAATTTCACAGAGCTGAAAGATGAATTACTTAGTGTGTGATGCAGAGAGGGGAGGAGCATGTATGTCAAGTGGGCGTGTCAGCATGATTACTTTCTGAGAGAAATTCACCCACTGACCAGTATATAGTTCAGTTGGAGGGTTATTTCACTTATTCGGCTGGTCTTTGCAGTTCGTTAGATAGTTACCTTAACTCGCTATCCACATACCAACCATCAGTCCATTGGTATCTAGACACCATGACTCAAGTAATGTTGACTGGTGGTGATCTGGTTCCCAGAAGTCTCGTCAACAGCGTCATCTTCTCTATAGCCAAAGGTATGTACAGTCTACTTCTGTAAAATTAAAAATGAAAGGAAACAAGCAGTGGCTAAGTAGTTCCACATGTTTTCATACCCATTACTTCGTTTTACAAACTACAAAAATACCTAAATGCGACAAAAAATGGAAGTTTCCCAGTCTTTGAAAAAATTGTTTCATCAGTATATTTTTAGAGGGCACCAATCTGCTTTTGTCACACAAGGCACTCCTTGTCAGATTAGCAAAATGAAAAGAACAAAAATTTGTCCTTCAAAATTACTCACCAACAAAGCTTCAAAGAAATGTTGGCCATTAATTTTGTCCTAACAAGCTGCTTAACCTGAGAAACTTGCAAAAAGTAGAACCTAGTCAAGAAACATGTTGAGAAAGGTGATCTATATTTGTACACAGAGCTATGGAGACACTACTTTTCTGCCTTGCTCAGCATTGTGCTTTGGCTCCTGAATATGGAAATTTTAGTATTATACCAACATGTTGAAGGTTCTCCATTTTGCTGCTACAAAGGAGATGAAAAGTCAAAGTAGTATTGCAAGAAAGCTTTTCTACACATATTCAAACAGTAAAAATTGTGTTGCATGTCTCCTAATAAAGTCACAGGAATCAAGCGTGCAGGTTTTCAGTATCATTGGCCAGAACAGGAAAAGAGCAAATGGTGTACTGTACAGAACTCCATGAGCCAACTTCACGGAGGTATTGAACAGGAAATATTTCAAAGCAGATTTCAGACAGTTGAGAACTAGTTGCAAGGTTTGTGCATTGTGTGGCATTTAAGGCTGGTAACCAGGTTCACAGTTTATGCTAAGCAATTGTATTCTTCCTAATGAAAGTTTGTGGCATTTTTCTTTAAGTGCAGCATGTCTGCAATCCCAACCTAACGTCCAGTCTCCACAATCAGAAGGAGTAGTCAGATAGGTATTTCAAGAAGGATAGGCCTCAGGCATGTGCATTGATACATGTAGGTTCAGACCTCATGTGTGGGTATTGTTGTTCCCATGTGACCACGGACACGCTCCGTTTTGAGCATGCGCTATTGGAATGTCGATCTGGCTAAGTGTGTCTGTTGGGAGTGAAAAGCAACAGTCAAAGAGTTTTTGGCTGTCCCTAAACAAATCTGGGCATGAATTCACCTTGTGCATTTAGGAAGACCCCTGGTTGTGGTCAGTGCACTTGTACTTGTGTCAGCAATTGTCCAGAAAATATGCCAAGTTCCAGTTAGTCTGTACCGTGCCCACCACCAGTGCCTCCACCATTATTGAGGGCTCTTTGAATGAACCTGGATCCTTCACCCAGATTTGCCTGCAGTTGATAGCCTTTATGGATTTTTGTATTTTTACAGATGCTAGGAATGGGGGTGATGTAGGCCAACATGCTTTACAGCTGTACTTGCCCCTCATCAACAAAAGCGCCACGTCCAGTGAACTCCGGCAGATTTGCTGCTGGGTAAGAGTTATTTAAGGTGTTTGGATTTAAGAGAACCTGGAACACCCAGGAAACTTACAAAGGAGGTTTTATTAACCCTAACCCCCTAGGCCCATTTTGCTAGAGACCCACCTCAATCTTCCTCCATTTGAGGGGTGAAAAAATTTGATTGATTTGAAATCACTTTGATGATTTGAAATCAAAATTTCTCGAAAATTTTACTTGGAGGTGTGCCTACTGCCTCAATCCTTCAAAATCCTCTGGCAATTCCTGTCATTATGTTGAGGCAGTGCGAATGGCATTCTCAAGCAGTGCGGTTCATTCAAAAGCAATATTGGGTTGAATTTATGCTTGACTAAGCAAAAACAACACAAGGTCTAACCCACAACCTTCATGCATGGCATTCCTTCGCAATAAGCCATGCACTTTTGCCATTTCAGATCAGAAGTACCCCAGCAGTGTGTGCACTAAGCCAATAATGTGGCAATGAATGCTCTTGAACTATTTGAACTTGATCTGCCCAGGTTCTTGGGGAATTTGCCTGCCTTCCCTCTGCTCCACCAGCAACGGAGATTGTCAGCATTCTCCGCTCCCAGCTCGACAGCAGACAAGAGGACAACGTGAAAATATGGGCCATGGGTGCTCTGACCAAAGTAGTGGCGAGCTGTGGGGTTGTCAGTGAAGATGTTGTCAGGGTGATTGAAGCTTGTCAGATAGGGTCGTCGATGGAACTCAGGCAGGTGTGTGAAGGGAATAGTTATATATTTTGTCTCAGATGCTGTGATTTCATTGGTCTAAAATGGTCACGTGTCAAATGTACAAAAACTAACAAATAACACCCTGCAGCATGTAAGCTGCCTCATGTAAAGATAACATCATCTGTATATCTCCTTCCACATACATGCTTGTTCAGTTTGTGTACATGTACTTGTATTAAAATTGATTTGTTATAATTGTTACAACCTATCAAGTCTTATTCCTCTTTTATCTCCAAAATGGAGGCTAAAACACTGATCATGAACTCCATCATTAGCAAAGCACCTTCTTTGTTGAGGTATGTAATGAATAGTTGTTATTGTTTGGGTTCACAGCATGCCGTGTTGCGTAAAGTGATCAGTTGATTTTTGATGTTTTACTTTGTCTTGCAGAGAGCATGTGAGTTACAGACTTTGTGCAGTGATTTGGATTTGATGAATGACGTTTACCCCAGACTGGACTCCTCCCCGGAATTACAGGTGATGAGCAGGATTTCCTGTCTTTGTAAGATAACTTTATGTTGAATACTGATTGTGTGCCTCAAGGTCCACATGTGAAATCCTGATGGCTACAGAGGAACTATCTAGCTTTGTCAAATTGGGGTACTCATAGTACACCACCATTCAGGGTGAGTTGATGTCACAGATTATTGTGGTAGAATGCCTTGTTTAGGGACACAGGCCTTGACCTCCCTTGCCAGTTCAGATCACAAATTTGAAAAGACCAATGTTCGGCCAAGACTCACTGGAATACCGAGGCTACCAAAGTCCACTATATTCTAACTTGCGAAGTGTAGATTCTGTTCAGCAAGAGGACAAGTGGTGTAGAGTTGGTCTGACCCTTCAAGAATTGCCCTCTTCTCATAATAACATTTGGTAATGAACATTTCAATAAACATTTAGGGAAATATTCCCTCCAAAAAATCCAAGTTTTTTTGTAATTCTAAAAAATTGTTAAAGAGTTAAATTCAGAATTTGGTTCACTTCAAAAATGTACATTTCATCCTCCCCGAACAACAAAAATTATAATAATTTTTCCCTCACTCATGATTGTTGATAATTCACATCATGACTGTCTGATAATGTGTAGTTTCATATTCATTCCAAGAATCACTTTTCTGATTTCTCCTCTGTAGTTTGACTGGACTCTATCCTTCCTGGATGAGTATGTATCCGAGGCTCTGGCCCAGGGGGCAGCTCCCTACAAACCTAAGCAGCAACGGCATGCCGAGAGGCAGCAGGCATCTCCAGGTAGGAAGGCTGCGGGATGGGGTGAAGGGTGAATTTCTGCAGGGAGTTGGGTTACTGAGTATTCTAGAGGTTAGTTTCACCATCCTGAAGGTGAGGTACTGAAGGGGCTCTAGAGTCCACCCCCTAAATAAGGGAAATAAAAACTAAGAAATACCACCTTTGTTCCCGTGCTGTTAGAACGTATTAAGACTCCCCCAATGTATAGATTTCAAGAAATCAAGTTCTCTCAACTGATTTATCTCTCTGCCTTCTTTGTAACAGTAGATGACCATTAGCATAAGGCAAAATTTGGAATTTTCCTTGTTTGCAAGGCCAAGAGAGTACACCATGAATATCCAAATGAATTACATGTATGCCATGTATCATACAGGAATTTGACTAATTTTGATCAGGTACCCTGGTTTTTTTTGGTTCCAATCCGTTTTTTCAGATATAAAGCCTCTGTTCTCAGGACTCAACTTTGTGCCCTACCAAAGCCCCACATCTTCAGTCATCAGTGGCACTGCCATGTCGGTCTCAACCACTGAAGGAAAGACAAATACCAAATCCGTTTCCCCGGACCCCTCGCTGAGCTCCGGAGCGTCAGCAAACAGTGCAGGGCCAAAAGCATCAGAGAGGTACAGACAAATAATACTTTTGGCAGGCTGCACCCTAGTCTTGGATTCACAGTTGGACTGGGTCCAGGGGTTGAATAGCCTAGTTTGTGTCCCTAGGCAAGCTACTTTACTCCAGCTTGCATACATGAGAATAACATTAAACAGAGTCTCAACCATTTCTTTTGAAAATCATAAGAAGGTTGAGAAATCAAATATTTTGGTAAAGTCAGAATTCTCAACAGTTGATAGACAGTCCACTTTTAGTATGACAGGGTTAAAGGGACCAGGCAATTACTTGGTTATGACCCGGACTTTGTTGTAAAAGGAGTGGAAAAATGGAGAAAACTCAACAATTCAAGAAATTGGAATTCTTAGAATTTGTTCTTTATAAAAGTAGTTCATTATAACAGTGTTTATTATAACGAGAGTTGACTTTATTTTGGCACAGATGAAGTACAGAAAATGTTAAATCCATTTTCCATTCACATTTTGTATTAGATTTCCAACTACACATACACAGAATCATTCCCAGCATTAAACTTTAATAGAACTTACATGTGTAGTCAACAGAACCGGAGCATGATTGTACATGATTAATTCACTTGCAGTTCAGCAGGTTTGAAACTGGATGGTGTCAAGCGGGTTTGGGGCAGTAAGGGTTATGCCAAGACAACATCAACTACACTTTCCTATATTCAACCAAGAACCAATGAGGGTCTAGTTCCAGCATCACCCCCTGCGACTCCCAGCAGCCCAGCCAGGGTTGCACAGCCAAGCATACAGGTGTGAGGATATTCCTTGTAGATTGACATTTTGTTGAAAAAGACATGCAGTTTGGTGGTTAGTGATTCCTATTTGTACATCTGTTTGTCGGGCCTGTGAAATGGAATGAGTGGGAAAAGGCTAAATACCCATTGGAGGATGGAGCCAGATGAATTTTTGGTGCAAGTGCACCCTGCTCAAGGGCCAAACGATTAATTTCAATTAATGAACATGTGAGTACGTCTTGAAAACAAGGCTAAACAATTGCTACTCAGGGCCGCGCTATCCAATAGACACAGCAGGCACTGTGCCAAGGTCCTACGGACGACTTGGGGGTCTACAGAAAATGTGAGCATCTATGAAGATACCATTAAAACTAACACCAACAACCAAACAGAAACAAGATTATAAATAGTGACTCTCTTTGAATTTTTCATTTTGGGGAAGTTTATACTAGTAAGTGTATTACTTAGGACGTATATTTGGTTTGTGTAGCATTACATCAATATGAATGCAAGGCTGCACTCAAAGTGCAGTTAGTAAAATATCTGTGCCAGTGCCTTGGGCGAGTAGGGCCTGCGAAGCACTAAGAGCCTACGGAGTACTTCATCTTACCAATGGACTTCCTTGTCTTCTGTGGATTTTTATGACCAAACGATGTAAATTTGTCCTATCCTGTAATGAAATTCCTAGTTGAGCAACCATGTATTGCCCTATCTTGGATCATAGAGGGAAGGCCCTTGGGTTCTTCACAAAATTGAATCAGTGGGAACTTGATGCTAATGTCAAGCTGCATGTAGTTAGTTGTAGAGGTTTACGATGGCACCATGCAAGGATATCTCTTTTATGAGTATGTATGGTTCTAAAAAGAACCGGAGGGTATTCAACATTTTGGGCAGTGTGCTTTGTCTGCCGTGAGGAGACTGCAGCTGGTGGAGCTGCTTACATTGTATCTGGAGGCAGCGACCAGATCGACTGGAGCCAAGCCAAACTCATCACTTGCACTGAAAACATTTGGCATCCCTTTCTCACACCCCAGTCCAATGCGTCTCCTATACCCTAGGACGTGTTCCCAGTCTATGGGTCTTTTATACCCTTGGCAACCTTCCCCCACGCTCCCCTCCTTCACATTGACACGCCTCATTGATCTGCTAGCATGCCATGTTCTGTTCGAGTGCTTTTGGTTGGATCCCGAGTTAGCGTCCTCTTCACACCTCACTACCTCCAGATACAACATAAGCAGCTTCTCCTTTGGAACCTCTGCAGTTTGACGAAGGACAGAGCATACTCTCTGAAACAATTAGTCGCCTCCGGTTCTTTTCAGAACCACACATTCGTAAGAGAAATGTCCTTGCATAGTGCTACCACAAACCTCTACAACTAACTTGCTACCAGTGTTGTAGACGAGACCACTTTTATAAGACCTTCACAAGACCACACAAGACCTCCAGTCTGAATTCGAGCCACAAGCTATTCAAATGAACTGCCACAAAGGTATTCCTTTGTCATTGTTCCCCTGTTACTTGTGCCTCGTCTTGTGTCTGGTCTTGTGATGGTCTTCACTACAACACTGCTTGCTACCTTCACTATGAACAGCTTCAAAGCTCAATGTCAAGCTACTTAACAATCATTTGATTACCTGCAGTTGTGGTCGAAGTTTACGTACATTTTAAATAAGAGTTTTCAATTACAGTCATAATATTTTACTTTATATGGCTACCGATATTGTTACCGTTTAGTAAAGCCTTAGAAATTGTTATTAAATATTTTCAGACCAAGTGTCCATAAATTTTTCACAACTGCAGCTTCTTGAGATAGGATACAGGTTTAAATGAGGTATAGCAGTTGGAAGAGCAAACTTTCATTTTATTTTTTTCCTCCCTGACATTCTAAATTCTCCATTGTTGTCTCCAGCTGAGCTCAGCCATGGCTGTAGGCAGGACAACAAGCTCTCCCCCCTCCTCTGTAGACACCCTGTCGGAAGAGGACTGTCGGAAGAAAGAACTAGCCAAAGCGTTGTTTGGAGGACTGCACAAGTCCATGACTACGAGTAGCAAGGTCAGAGAAAGGAATACCACACCAGATACACTGATGCCTAGCATCTACGGGAAATATGAAGTTTTTTAGTTTGATTCTTACTGCCAAAGTGTCCAGGTTGAACTCATGCCCGATTTGGAACTCAGTTTGGAATTTATGCAGCATTCAAGCTTTTCGGAGGCCATCACCAATTTTAAATTTATTTCTGAACACAGTTCCTTTATGAGGCCGTTAATGTCTTCACAACTTAATTTCTCTAAATTAAATCTGAGATTTTCAAGGTGAAACCCGATACAAATGTACTTTACTGCATGAACATTTTCCTTCCATTCCAGAAACCAATGGACAGAAAGCCCCAGTTTGTCTCCACATCAGAAAGATCTTCCAAATCGGCAGCAAAAGACGAAAAGTCATCAAATATTACAGATTTGCTTGTTTTATCCGATGTCAACGCCCTTTCCTCGGACAGAAACCTTCCACAAGTGGAACTCTCCAATGTGCAATATCCAGAAGAGAAAAGCAACACCAGGTTGAAGAATCAACCAGAGGAGAAGGAAAACCTTGACACTTTTCTGACGTTGACAGAAGAAAATATCAATGCACAGCTTGTTACCCCTGCCACTGTAAATTTTAGAGTAACAAATCAAGGAGAGCAGCTGGTAAAAGCAGAACTACCAGGAGAAGACCAAAAGTCATCAGCTGGGAGCATAGAGACATATCAGGGTGGGCGTCCAGCTATGGCCTTTGGCAGAACTAGTGGACAAGAGCTCAGCATGTATGAAGAGTTCAAGGGAATGGACCTGGACAAAGAATATTCAAATTCACAGATTCAAATACAAGAGAGTAATTCCCTTAGTTTACAAGATGAAGGGCCAACAGGTCACCAACTTCCATATGCACCTGACTCTTCTGCAGTCTTTGATAGTGTGTCTGATATGGACGATGGTCATGGAGAGGAGAAAACGCATCAGTTCTTGAACCTGCAAGGCAAAGATGGCAGAAATCCCATCGACAGTAGTGAAGTAACGCCTGACACAAGCTCTGCTGATTGTACATTAAGGGATGACTCTAGTTCATCCATTGGAAATTCAGACGTCAACCTGTTAGACACCAGGACATCTCAAGCCCATCCTTCAGAAACAGCACCACCGTGTTCCCAGCCCAACAAAGAAATATCACTTCTTGACTCCAGTCCAGGGGACGTTTCCCTTCCAAGCCAGCCGGAACTTCTCCAGAACCGGCTCCCTGCAGACTGGCAGGACTATCCAAGAAGCCGGGACAGAATTAACCTTGGTAGCGATACCCTTCTTGCCGTAACACTGTACAAAGTCTGGAAGCCCAGCACATTAGGACTTGTCTTCCACGTCACAAACATCAGTCCAAAAGACTCGATCACCCAGTTGAAGATTAAACTGGATGTCACATCAAATTTAAAAGTAAGTCGTGGAAAAACTTTGCCTTTTGCGTACGCATGGTTTGAAAACCTTGAAGTAAATCCTGTGTATTTCTTGTGTGACACTCAAGTCATTATCCTACACACTGAATTTGTTTTTATTAAATTTTTATCCACACACTATTTCATTTAGCCTCTTCCACTTAGTATTTGGTATAAGATGATTTCCCAGCCTATTTCGGGGGGCCCAAATGCTTATGAACAGAATAGATTGTTTCAAAGTTAAGCAGGTTTAGACAGAAATAATTCTGAAATTTTAAGAGCAAATTCTTGGAAAAGATAGACTCTGTTGCTACCATGCATAAATCTGCATAAATCTCGGCCATGATTGGTCAGAACCAGTGTTGTACGACTCGAGTTCAGGTTTCGGCCTCGAGTCGGCCTCAAGTCACATTTTTCATGACTTAGATACGACTCAAGTCACATTGGATAATGACTCGGACTTGACCTTGATGACTCGGACTTGAAGTTGGTGACTCGAGTCATGTATTGTCGTTAAACATATTTACCATATACGCCGTCGAAATTAATTTGTATGCACCTGTGCTATCACTGTTTGCATGCATGAAGCATCGTCACGTTGCACATTTTCCACTTCACCCATTTATGTACAGCTAAATATCCACTGATGAGTCAACTAGACGTGTCATATTCCGTATCCACAAACTGTGCGGCAGCAATCAGACTGCGCTGGGCGCACATTTGTTATTTACATGCGAGTACGGACGTACATATACAGCTTTGATCATGGATGTTCCTCCATGGTTTGATACACTTAGAATAATTGGCTGAACAACTTGATTCATGACTTGTGACTCGTGTCTCAGACTCGAGGTTTGTGACTCGAGACTTGGACTCAGACTTGACATTGGTGACTCGACTACAACACTGGTCAGAACACCCAGGGGTGGGCCTTAACAGATCCCCCCTTGCCAGTAGAACCGCACAGACATAAATGAAGCTGTTTTGTTTTCATACATTCATGCAGGTGTCAGATGACCTAGATCACCACCCTCTGTCCACAGACTTGCTCGGCTCGACTAAAACGAGCATTCTAACAGCAGAGCTTGGCTGCATCTCCCCTGCCCCTAGCATGAGCCTGGGTGGGGAGGTAGCGTACAAGGACCACACCAGGACACACCGCAGGCTGTTCTTTAGCTCACCCATCACCATCAGTGATTTGTTAAGGTAGTGACCACGGGCATGAGCAAATGATAGTTATAAATGTTTTCAGTAATATCACCTACTCTATGTGATTTTCCTCTGTATATTAGCACTGTTTGATACAAGCAGTACAGGTGTAAGCATCGTGTGTCACAGTGTGACAGGTCTTGGACAGCAATGGAATTGGTTTTAGAAGGTCCACAGCTAGGAGACTCAGTGATGAAGTTTGCAAATAAAGAAATGAAAACTATGGTTGCTTCCTACTTAAACTACTTGTACGTTATTCCTTCACATTCACTAACTCCATTTACTTGTGCTGGAAGGCTAATCCAATGAAATTGTGCAAAAGTGAACTTAACAGGTGCATTAGATTTTCACTTTTCTTAATTTGTTGAATCAAACATAACTTAGTTTATCAAATTAACTGACTCCATTTTGAATCCTCGCACTATCAGAACTTCCTATTTTTTCTTTTACTCTCTTCCAACTTTTTGTCATGTTGTTTGCTTTCAGACCTCTTAAATTACAAACAGCTGAATTTGGTGAGCAGTGGCCAAAGCAGACTTGTGACAGTAAGTTCACTGTGGAGCTGGTGGAGGCTGTCTCCATGTCAAAGGTCATGACCTTACTGACCCAGGAGATGAATATTCATCTCGTTGAAATTATAGGTGAGCTTTATTTCTGACCGACTGTCAAGTACTGACTGTAATTTATGAGGAGAAATTGCCCCGTCTCTAGTTGTTTCCCGATGCTGACAAGTTATTTGCGCAGTTGCCTGCTTTAGAGCTAGATTGATGGTCAGCCAGATGATTGGCATTACAAAAATCAATTATTCTCTTGAAAGTACTATAAATATGGACATTACTAATCCATTTGTGGTTCCAGTAAGAAAGTATTAAGTTTACAGAGATTATGGCTAGGTTGAAAAACAGTGCCAATGTATGGTTTTCCCTTTGCCAACAATTTGCCTGGGGCTTGGAAAAATCAGCAGTGTTGTCATTGTTACATTCAAGTCCTCATAAGTCTATTGCAAATTACGTATTCTCAAGGTTCAAACTGTTCAAATGGACGTTGACAAAAAGCATTCCATTGTTACATGTGACCTCATTCATGACTTGACTTGTGATGATTTTTTGACTACAATTCAAAATCACGTGTGTAGCAAACAGCCAAACCATTGCATCGCCCAAGGTCCAGATTACCCATGGAAATGTCAAAGAGAAACATAATCCTTAATACTTCATTCCAGTTTAAATAGGTTCAGCTCTACTTACTTGCTCGGATGAATTTTGTGTCTTGCATTGTGTACAATTCAGTCAACGGAAGTTGTTTTCCCTTTGTCATTGGAGCAGGCAACGAGGGTATAGCCTGTGGCACGCTCTTGGGCAGGTCCGTCTGCCTCATACACACCAAGCTGCCCTCTGATGGGTCCCTCGAGCTCTGGGTCCGTTCCTCCAGCCGCCTGCTGTCAGAGTCTGTCACCAAGCAGTGCAGGGAAGTCATGAAGAAGTTATGACGCAACATGAAGGACAAAAACTCCTTGACCAAAATCTTTTAGTCTTGCCAGAGAGATTTCAACAGCAGCATAAGGACCTTAGCGATGAAGGAAGTCCCCCTCTTAAACAGCCCCCCTCTTAAACTCTACGCATGCTACTTTGTTCAGACCTGCCTGATATTAATGTTTTTTTTATACTGGCATTAGGAGCAAACCCTACCCATGTCATATCCAACAAGACACGATACAACATCGAGCTGGGAGGAGTTCCGTGACCAAACGTTGGTAATCTTGCCAAAAGAGATTGTATGCGATACCAGTGTAACAATTTTCATATGAAGGAATAATTTCCTTTCCCCCTTAAATAGCCGCCCTACCCAAGGCATGCTACCTTGCTTCAGTCCAATTGGTTCTTGTTGCTATTTGTACTTGACAAGAGAGCCCTAATTTCAAACACAGAGCAAATGTTTACAGCTTAGATTTCCTCTTTTTTGTCACTGTATTTCCAGAGAAAATTGGCGTACAGTATATCATATCCTGTTCTAATGTATAAACATTTCAGTCTGTGTTAAAACCCTCTTTTTGCTGTAACCATCACGAACAGTTAGAAATTCCGTCCACTTGATTTCCCCCAGTACACGGACACATATGGGTCATTTCACTGGTACCGGTATTGACCAATAGGACAACTGTGTCCCGAATGTGTTTTTGCATAGGACGGTTCAATTTATTCAGTTCTTTTCAAGAGGTTTTTTTTTTACTTATACATGTTCCTTTCTCCCACACAAAGGTTAGTGTACAATGTGTGATTAAAGCCTCATTCAAACTGGTCTGTACGGTAATTGTGTCCTTTAGGCCAAAATGTGTGCATCATGTATTTCAGCAAAATCAGTAGGATAAACAAAATAAGTAAACACTAGGCAAATATTGACTGCTTTATATGTACACCGAAGGAAATATAAGTAAAACTAGCTTCTTGAGGTTATTCATGGAGCATTCTGCTTTCTCTACTTGAAAGAAATCTCTTGAGGTGATCCGAGGAGCTTCTGTATTATTTAAACCATGGCTCCATGGATCAAATATTGTTTTCAGAATGGGGCCACGTGATGTCATCCTTTTTGAGTGCTGTTGCAACGTTTGTTGTAGAAACTACAAGTGTCACGTGATGTTCTATCGACCAGTCAAGATACAGAAGCTGTGGGTGAGGTGTTATAATTCTTCTGGAAGATATATATACCCAGTTGAAATTTCTTCTGATATGAGCACAAGCATATCGGGGCCCTTCATCCCCTCGTGCGTACTGTTTATCTTTGAGCTCTCACGGACTATTTGTAGTTCAACTCCAAATTAAGTGGCAGTCACACAGTAGACTGTGAGGCCCCCCCCCCAAAAAAGAGGAGTGCTGGAATTTTAGCCCAGTGTATGCCCAGTTTGACATTTCAACACCTTACTTATCAAGAAAATTAGCAAGAAACAAGAAAACTGAGCATAATTTGCCATTATTATTCAGTTTCTTTCATTTCTTCCTTGTAATGCCAACTATGTGAGATTTTACCTTTAGTAGGTCCTAGGCATAGAAGTTCTGGCTTTATCTGCCCTGCCCATGTTAAATAAATTCATCAACCTGGAATATCAGTTCATGAGTCCACTGGTGTCCTTTCTTTTATGCAATTTTGAATAATCCTTGACTTACCAGTGATCTAGTAACTACACTTATCACACATGTTCCAACCTTTTACCATAGCTGCAGTACAAATTGGCATGGCTCAAACAGAATGTGCACATACTCAGATCAGCACATGCAGGTTGATTATTATGTGACATTAATCAACCTAATAAACGTGCATCTCATTTTGTGTTCCAAGTTACTTTCAATTCTTGGTTTGCCATGTAAAGGGGTCGTTTGGATCCATTTTAATTTTTAGGCTAATTTTAAGTTAATTAACTGAGCAAAATGCAACGGGAAAAGCTGTGTCATCCTGGTCAGAGATATCTATCATATCAATCTTCCTGCTTTTTGAACATTTTCTTTTTTACAATTTAAGATGTTTCACTATTGCAAATTTTCTTGTTTTTTTTTAAATTCATTAATTTGTAAGTCGGCCTACATGGCAGTAAACCACAGAGGAACCTTTTTCACAAATCTTTAAAGGGGCAAATTTTCAAGGATTCAAGAAATGAACAGAACAATCCCTATAAAGACTGTCCTCACAGCAACAGTGCCCTCATTTGTCCTGAAAAAGATGAAGAATTAAAAATGTTTGAAGTGCACTCTTCAACACAATTTAAAAGGGATGTCGAGTGTTTATTCATTTAATTAAGGGGTCAATGTTGCACGAAATATTTATCTCTAAGAAAATATTGCAAGGGCCAGTTAAACAATTCCAGGAAACATGTTTGTTTCATTGGATTTAAAATCCCGAATAACAGTGGCAAACCAAGTTGATTTTTAATCTATTTCAAAAGAGTTCCATATACTTATTTTCCCTTAAGATTTTATTACAGCCGTCAGAAAATAACAACATGTCCCCAGAAGTGAAATTTAGCAGAGAAAATTGATTTTTGATCTATTTGAAAGGAGTTCCATACACTAATTCTCCCATAAAATGTTATTACAGCCAACGGAAAATGATAACGTCCCTAGAAATGAAATTTAGCGGAGAAAATTCCGAGGCATGTGCTTAGAAAACATTTAGGCTTTTTCTGACAAGTCTCATAGGTTTGTGCACAGGAGCGTCAAGTGTTTTCTGTTTCCGAACTCTATCCACTTATTTTTCTCTTTTTGAGTGGGCAGCCAGACAGCTTTCACAAGGACTTTATTACGGCAAAATTAATGTCCGTTTACGAACTATGAGTCTACAGACTGAAGTGAAGACACTCACCTCCACTCCGGAGAACTCGCCCTTCAAAGCACAGTACACTCAAGCCTTGTTGAACCGACAAATCTGGGCCAGCTGGCCTGGCTGCACTTCTGACGCCCTTGACCGTCAGCCTGAAGTTCCCCTGGCCCTGCAGATACCTCCCCGGGCGGCTGTCGTCACCGAGGTCCAGGCAGGAGACACTCGTTTCCTTCGAGACGTGCAGTCGCCGACCTCATGTTTCCAGCTCCACCGCTGTAGAGGCATCTGCACTCATCACGCGTCCTGTCGGTTTCCCACCGCCAGGTGTTCAACATTTCTTTATGGTCGTCGGGCCAATGTCATTTCAAAGAATGGTTGGATATCTGGCATTCAATGCATACCATCGAACATTTGTTATGTAAATTACACACCTAGCGGCGTGCTTAATATTCTCTCCTAGGAGGGTTAGGGTAATAGATAATAAATTGGGCGTATTTGAACCGTTGCGCATGCGTTTTTCGTAGGACGTTTGGGGGAAATTATCACAAATGGGTACACACATTTACAAAGATACAACAAATTTTTGCACGGTAACTCTGTTATCACGTCCAGACTGACGAGTAAGTTAGGTCCCCATGCATTAAGCTGTGTATTCGCACATGCGCAATAGTAATAGTAAACTCAGGCTAGCAGACGATGCATATCGGGGGTGACCCATGTGAGGGATTTGTCCTGCCATTCCCTTGAAGACCTCGTGTGTGTTAATAGCCAATAATCTATCAAATGGGGATGTTTAATAGCTTCTGGTAAGAAAGATCTCTGAAAAATAATCAAAGAAGTGGAAAATGTCAATTTTACGACAAAGGATAATTATGAAAAATTATCCTTTTTCCCCTAACTGTAGTGTCTAATTTTCACAAAATTGCCGCGTTTACCTTCAAATAACTTTGATGCCTCATGAAAGACCAGTAACTCCTATGATAAAGAAAAAGTTTATTAGGCCTACTTCAAGGCAGAAACCCTTTTTTTTTAAATTCACTTCGTTTTTCATTGGGACCCATGTTCTTGTTTTCACCTTAGGTGCCCAATTTTCACACTTTTGTCGAAATCAATTCAGGTCATCTGTGATACTGCCTGGAAGACTGAAGAATCGTTTTTATCCATCATCTCATTTCTTCAAGATTGAGAGCCATTTGTCTCAAATGCGGTTCGTTTTTCATGTGGATTTCACTGAGTTCGACATGTCCGACAGCGGTCAAAAATAAGATGGGGCATGGCATACACGTACACGCACATCCACCTGCTGTGGATGCGTTTCGGTACGCAAGTTGACTTTTGATGCATTGTACTAAAACGTACTTGTACAACGACGTCAAACTGCCCGACTAAAAGGCACAAACAACAACTTTCCGTTCTCATTCATACGGTTTCCTTATTGCGTGATGCTTTCTCATTAAGGCGTTTATGATATTCCTCACTATTCTCAAAGAACAGAAATGTCAGGAAAAAAACGGCAAAACTGAAAAAATCCCTCTTAAATATTGGCTTCACTTCCAACTTTTGACTCTGTAACTTTGGAGGTAGGCCCTACGTGAGAAAGACGGGCAAAAATTTGGCAGAAAATGGATTTTTATTGTGTGCAAATAAGTAAAAGGGACTTTGAGTGTTTAAGTACTAATCAGTATGGAAATGGGGGCAAACAACTATATCTGAGCTTGGTGTTGATCGATTACTTTGGGGGTCTTTTATAGGAAAGTAAATCTCGACGTTTACCTTAGCACTTAAGTTTCTGACTAGACTGTCCACTAAATTGATCGAGCGTGCGGAAACAACGCCCGTACTCTTATATGATAGTTATCCCTAACCCTCCTAGGAAAAAAATTACGCTAATGGCGTGCAACCGGTTAACCTTCTCTTGGAGTGGGAGGTATATATCGCGATACAATTTCAACAAATATTTAACGCCGGATGACTGTCTAACTCCGTGAACCAAATCAACGTCACCGTCTTAATGTTGATTATACATTAAATTTGGGTTGTTAAACTTACTACGTTATTTCGACAATAAATCAACATTGGGCACTTTGTGGAAATATAGAAGTTGAAACAACGTTTGCAACCTGCCGTTGGCAAAACATGGAATTTAGGTTGTAAATATCGCGACACAATTTCAACAATAATTCAACTCTGAATAAATGTCGATATCTGTATGTCGATACAGTGTTGGCTCACCAACGTTGGGTAGATATTGATTTGGGGTCGCTATTTAACCTTACTTCCATTGTTTAATGAACGTCTTACTGCGACATCAAAAATTTACAAAAGTGACGTTGAGAAAACATTGTATTATGTTATTGAAGTTGAAACAACAGATTTCAACCAAACTTCAACGTTGAAATTACCGGGTACGTCGTGTGCCTGCTAGATAGAGGGTGTCCGTCTTTAACATTATCAGTTCCAAGCTACCCTGCCCATCTACGTAATGATGTCCTATCACCAGGGGCAATTTCATGCGTGGGGGCGTTTTCCTGGGGAGGGGCAACGCACTCGTCATAGTAGCAAACTGATATTCCAGGACCATTTACAGTGGAAGAGCCCAGTTTCCTATGGTAGAGATTCAGCCTAAAACTGTATGTTAGCATCTCATGTCTTTTGATGCAAATGGCGTGCTCTCTAACTACACGCAAATCAAAAACTCCTGACCTCAGTAAAAATGAGGTTCTGTTGTGTTCTTGCTTCAATTGCATCACGCATTCTTGTTTTGCATTCGATCGACCAATTTCAATCGCAATTCTAAGCTTTTACAGACTTCTTTGGGTTCGTGTCCCAGAAGGGGTCCTGCCTCGAAGTCATAACGGTCGCTCTCTAGACAATCGGACTTGAAGCCCGTTAAACCCATCATAATGACTTCAAGCCGGGACAAGGGTTAAACAAATCGAGCTGTAGGTCACGGTCGGTGATAAAAATGATTCCCGAGGTAGCGTTGAACGTGGATGACGTCGCATTGCTCTGTCAACGGTATACTTGTGGAGTAAGCACGATGTAGGCAAGCGACGAGCCTATGGAGGAGGGCCACATAGGAACCATATCGTACCATTGTAAATAGGGCGGCCAGTCAGCTACATTGGCGTTTGGCATCATGAGCTAGTATACTTATTTTCCACAAAAATGTTTTAGGTGTTAAAACTTAAAGTTACTATGATATTGGACATTGGACATTCCCATAGGTTGGACAAAGAATGTCTGATTTTTCTCGACACAGTGGACATTCCCATATGTTTGTTCAGGGAATGGGAATGTCCAGTGTTGAGAAAAATCAGACATTCCCTGTACAAACCAATGGGAACGTCCAATGTCCAATATCAAACTAACTTTCATATCTGAAGGGCGTGTGTATTAGAATATCGACGGCTGCACAGTGGTTTGTACGGGTTGATGTGGTTTGAAGGTAAGAAGGAGCAAGTGCACGTAACGAGTGGTTTTAAATGTAAATCGCTAACTGACTGGTAGCCAGTGAAGAGAGAGAAGGACAGGTCACATGGCTAGTCTTCTCGGTGTAAGTAACCGGGCGGCACTATTTTCGAGTCGTTGTAATCTACTAATATCTTTCTGGGAGGCTGCAGAACAGAACATTAAATGAACATTAAATGAGTACACAATAAAAGTTCGCTTGTGGCACAAGTCGCTAGTAACTTATTACGCCCTTTATACTCTGGTTTAAATAACGGCACTCACGAATAGGCCTATACATGTATACAGATATCGGCATAAATCTTCAGGAGAAGAGAAGTTTTTGATAGGTTGGAGAAAATAGCATTGCATAAAATGTAAAAGTGATTGAAATTCAAGTGGTTAAAAGTAACGCTTTACATAAAAATTTTACAAGTTTTAAAAATGTAAACTAAATATCCAAATTTTACCCTCAATACCAAAAAACCCTAAATTGTAGACCAAATGTTTTGAAGTACACTAAATAACAAGACAAACTAGAAACACAGCCTGAAATTACTGTTTCCTCACTATAGAACACGAAATCTCTGAAATGAATATTTACATATATCATCCTGACAGTAAAATACCCTGTCGGTCAACAAATAAGCTTTTTATAGGGCCTATATATATATATATCACTTTTCTGGAAAGCCGCTTTTTTTAATCAATTTTACAATCAACAGTGCCCCTCATTATAATAATATTAATAAAACATACTCGCAGTAATGTTTATTTTTTCCCAAAACAATTATTGTAAGATTCTGTTTTGGTACGAAATTAAAACTTGCAGTGTTTTCTACTTATACTGAAGATTTGAAATTTACTTTGAAGATAACTTGCGTTTCGGAGATATGTCTAAATTATGTCACATTACTCATTTTGTTCTGTCCAATGAAGTTTACAGTTTATTTGAAAATTTATGCAATTACCATGTTTAAATTCTAAATGATCGCGCATTATTATGATTGGGTTCTTTACCTCCTTGGTATTTCTTCGAGTTCTAAACTTGAGGAAAAAAGCTTATCTTATAAGGCCACGGTTATTTAACCGTGCAGCCTCAGAGTTTGCAGCTTCAAAGTGCAATGGGTTTGTTTTCAGAGAAAACAACTTTAACAGGAATATGAAAGGGCTGTGTAGCATCGTGATCGAAATATTGACAAAAATATATACCAGTGTCCTTAATTCAAAAGCCCTGACAAAGGCACCCAAGCTCAACAATAAAATAAATTAAGAGCACTGATGGTATATATTTTTGTCAATTTTCAGTAAAAATTGTACAGTTTGTTTTATATAACGGGTTTTGCCCTTACCCAACGTACATATTAATAATAAATACTGTATGCTCAGTGCTCGTCCGAGAGCTTGCGAAAAAAAAGTCACAAGCCTACTCGGGTGGGACTCGAACCCACGACCTCTTGCTTACACGGTACTGATCCAATTCTGTAACATTGACCACTTTGAACCATTTTAGGCTTCTGTCTGTTTGCTGATGGAAAACTTACGCAGTTTTAACGTGAATTGCCAGAAACCTGTTTAAATCAGTAACCTCATTCAGTAAGCCTTTCCAATGATCTCAAAGGGTGCTGGTGGCGTAAACTTGGCGGTTTGATTGTTGTGGGAAATCCAATTGGACAGAATAGACGGCAAGAATAGACGGCAACAATTATTGTTTTACGTAATCGAGATTATCTCCGCAACGCATTATCGGATTTAAATGAAGTTTTCGAGTTTATAAAGATAGCGTTTAAACCTTGGATTTACACTTAAAAACCTTAAAAATTATAGTTATTATAATCTGACAGTTATTTGGGGAGAAATTAAATGTCACTTTGGTTAAAAAACGATGGAAATACTTCGTTCCTGGTAATGCGGAATATGCTTGAAGAAACACAGGCCTGTGACTAGGACTTTTCGGGGGAGGGGCCATCTTCAACAAAGCGAACCAAGCATAGATCTTTTGCTTTTTTTGAAAAACAGCAGGATTCATGATGTCGTACCAATTGTTTTTTGGGAGGGGGTTACAAGTAAACTCCCGAAGAAGGGATTAACTGAGGCGACCAATACCTTATCGCGACATTTTTGTGCGCAAAATGTTCAGCTATAGCTCAAAATCTTTCCTTGCCTCAAGCGCCAACCATTTGGTCGCGGGGGGGTGCGGACGCACCCTCTGCACCCCCACCCCCGTTATGGGCCTGATAACACCCATATATAAATCTGCAATCAAGAAATTTTATACTTCATATTGAAGTAATCTAAGTTTGTATAAACATTTAGAATAGGAACCATAAGGCGTTTATAGCCATCCACTGAGAAGATTCATAACCTCTTTCACTAAATATAAATTGAAAAACAAATCATAATTTCATTTTTTTCATTTGGTTGTATCACAAATACACCTAAAATCCCTCACAAATAATCTTCCCGTTTCTTACACTTGCGCGTATGTACACTTTTCATGTGTTCTGCTCATTTTTTCTGTAACAGAGTATAATTCAAACTTAAGTCGAAAGCTCCAGCGCTTTGTTTCGTAAATGCTCAAAGTAAATATTCCGTCGCCATTTTAAATACTTGCCCCCCGCTTTTTCAACGACATGAGTCTGGATTTCTTTTCATTAGTTTGAATGCAAACTGAAACGCGAAACGAGAAAAAAAACCTGTCCCGCAGAATCAAATTGTTTCCTGCTGCTATAATCTCCAAGCGACATCAAGTCTTTCTTTGTGAGAAGTTTTGGCCTTGGTGATGTTTTTCTTTCTTCCACGACTCCCGTTGCGCGACATTCGTACATCGAACTTTCTGACTCCATCAAAAAACACATCTCTGGAAATCTGCCAAACCGGACGGAAAGAGGCGCCACGCCGCACCGCGTGTTTCTTCACATAATTTTAAGGGGTTCAGGTCAATTGCCGACTGTGGGATCAATGTCGCGTTCAGACTTCCGTCGTTCAATATGAATGACAACACATTGCATGCCGATGAGCCTTCCTAATCAAGTTAGGCCTACCGCGCATGTTCCGGACCATTTGAACTCTGGTTCTTAGACTGAACTTCTATTGATGTTTTAAATCGCACAGTTGTTTCTGCTTTCACGTATGTAGAGTTGTAGTGGTGAAACATCTACTTCAAGAGAACCATCACTACATTCAGAAAAAATGTTTCCTTAACCAAACTAGATCCACAAACATCAAGACAAAAACAAAATACTGTCACTTTGAAATATTCCTGCTTAAAAGTTCGTCCGTTGATTTATATCATGCCGCTCCTTGACTAGTTTCTGCTGACGTATATCCCCCTCAAGAATATTCCCTGCACCAATGCTTCGAATTAATGCTCAGCAGGAATTACCCATTCCTTGCTCCGTCCCAGCCTCTTTCATGTCAGCTCCGCCCCCTTCTTCAACATCTGCGTTGTTGTCGTTAGAATCAACCTGTTTGTAGGAGACCTCCTCGTCCGTTGGTTCCCGGGCTACTCTGTAGTTCCAGCCCCGCCAATGAGGGATTCTGAATGGTTCACCGGCTGAAAAAGGAACAGAAACACAATTTTATGGGGGATGCATTTGCAAAACAGAGGGTCGGAATTTTAACGTTATGTTTAAGTCGCTTTCCATATTTAATTAACCCCGATTTCAATATGTGTTTACATACATCCTAGGGGTTAGGGTTAAATGAAACAGTGAATCCGTTCAAGATTCAACAGTGATTTCGATCTGATGTAAAGAACTTTCACAATGAAAAAGGAGCATGCGATTCGAAAATTCAAAACTTTCTGATGGACTTAACAAAACAAAGATAAGACAGTCAGTTACTGTCACTTTCTCGGACAGTGCTCATGCATAGGCCGACATGCACACAAATTATCAAACGCTCGTTCTAGAAGGTTCCCGCTAAAAGCATGGGCGGAGATTTCTTGTCACATGTGGGGGATGGAAGATTGACTTCTGAAATCATCTTGTGCGGAGCTTGACAAAAGCACTAGTTCAGATTTCCACCTCAATTAGGGGGGGGGTGATAGTTCCCCAACAGGTGGGGATATATCCCCCATCCCCCTCGGTGCTCAGTTGTTGGGCAAGACACAAACCCTGGCTGTACTGTAAGAGACACCGGTAACAATTTTGACACCAACCTCCTAACTCCTCTCCTTCTTTGATTGTCTCCGGCATGTTCATCCCCAGCGTCTCGGGCAACAGCAATGAGGTCAAAGCGGCCATGAGGGCCAGTAGCCCGAAGACAAAGAGCGGGAACGGTTCCCAAACCTCTCGTAGAACCAGCAAAGGAGGGGCAAAGATGCTCCCCAGTCGGGCACACATGGAGGAAAGACCCATGCCAATGCTCCTATATACGAGGGTAATAAGTTTGAGGCTAACCTCGAACTCTGTCTTTGCTAAAGAAGATAGGCCTACTTAACGATGTGTACAAGAAATCCAAGTCACGTCCTTTGGGGTTGATTTATGTAAGACGTCTGTTTACTTGTGCGTTTTTTGGTATTCAAACTTAACCTCTTACGTGCAATTTTACAAGAAACCGTCAGACTTGTAACAAAGCAAAAAGCCCAGGAGCAAGTACGTTTCCGTTTAGAGCTTAAAAAGCAACAGAGAACGTCGCTCATTTTTGGGTCGGGTACCTGACTGGTGTTGGGTACATCTCCGCAGAGTAAATGTAGATCAGACAGAATGAAGCTGAGATGCCAAACTTTCCCAACATAGCTACGGTCGTTCGTCCCGCCCCAGGTGCTGAAAGACAGAATGATCGACACTGCTTGGCACTTCGATTTATTCTCTTTCCCTTTTAATTTATAACGACTGACAAATATTTAGAATATGTAGTCATTAATCTTCGATCACTGATACGATCATCACATATACACGTACTTATGAACATGGACTTAAGTCATCAAGCAATCAACTGACTTGTTTGCAAAGTTGAAATGACTCGAGTCAGTTACTAATTGTGAACTCTCGTCACAAAATTTAGACTCGTTATAACTCTGCTTGTTTGTGGTCGATAGGTGCGCCGATACAGGGACTAAAAGTAACTAAAACGGATCTAACCACACACCAATTTCCCGTACCGATAAAAATAGTTCCAAGGCAGGCGATTCCACCGATGAGCAGGTAGAGGCTGAGCATAATCCGCCGGCCGTATCTATCGATCAGAGGCAGTATGGAGAAACACGCCGGAATCTCCACGAGCCCTCCGATGAAGAAGGCTAAGTAGTCGTTGGACCCAAGGCTAGAGGTGCTGAGGGACAGGCCGTAGTATACGGCAGCGTTCACAAACCTGGACATACGAGAATGATTATTGCATGCTATAGAAATTGGGCGGGAACCTGTATGCATATATAGTTGGAGAAAGCATGACCGCGAATTGTGGTTCGACCAGTGCGCAACGCGTGACGTAGTCCCATTTGTACAACCAGACTTCGTGATACTGGTTTTGCGAAGTAATAACAGATATAATTTTGCCACCAGTGCTTAGCATTTTATTGCTGGCCTTGAGCGCAGAAATAAAGTGGTAAACAATCTCAGAGCTATGTCTCCCTCTACCCTCTTTAAAAGCAAGTTTGTATTACAGGCCAGTGGGAAAGCGAAGCAGATTTGAGGTCACAGAAGATTTGCAGCGAAATTTCGCTCGAGTTGTAATGTGTTCTACTTTTGCGTAATACGGGCGATTCACAATAGTGCACCTCGAAGAGTTTTCATGAGCCTGGCCAATCACGACGCGCGAAATCTGTCGACCCTTTCCAAACGCGCATTTCCAAACTCTTCGAGGCATACTCTTGTGAATCGCCGGTATTTAAGCTGGCCTCACAAATCCGCGTTTGTGTTCTCTTTCGCATGAAGTCGTATGAACTGGCCTTTATACTTAAAAAAAAAACCAAAGTTAATGTGCGATTTGCGGCACTGCAGCGTTGCTGCTAACACTAAGACGGATCCAGAAACCGAATAATCAGGATGGAGGCAAACGTTGGGGGGATATTGGAATTTTTTTTTCATGTAACATTTTATGACTTGTCCAAATGATGGGGTTACATTTAGTTTTTTAACGCTTTTTATCCCTTAAACAAATAATTCTGGCTCTTTTTCAGGGAGCATATCCCCCATTGCCCACATGCAGGATCTGCCCTTGTCGGTAACCCACGGGTGAAGTTTCTGCAAAGTTTTGAAGCCCATACAAAATGTTTGCATTGTTTGTAAATAAAAGAGTACTGTTGGCGGAATTCCTGGTCAATGACATTTCGCACTCAAACTTTGCTCTCAGCCACGCGGCTTCGTCCACATTGTAAGGGCTAGTTCGGAATCAAACGGTTGTAGAGGATCAAAGAACGAGGAAACATAGAACAGGGTGGAATGGAACTCACCAGTTAAACATAATATTCAGGGTTCTCTTTCGCAAAATGGGTTTCCGGAAGAGATCAACGAACGAAGTCCTGCCCTGCTCCTGGTTTGTGGTATAATCCATCAAGAGAAAAATAATAAGTGATCAAGCCATCTTCCTAAATCATTCTTAAGACGCAACTGCCCACGAGAGCTGCGATTACCGACTTAAAACAGAGACCATGTGGCCGAAGGTGGTACAGCTACGCACATGTTGAACGTCAGCAGATTATAGTCAAATAATGTCGCAGCAAGGTGCCAATCATACGCGCACTTAGAGTCTCTCCAATTCAAATTGGATATGCAGTGGACGATGCAAACTGCACGAAATGGACCTATGTACATGTACATACAAGTGCTGGTCACAATGTCACCAAGCGTGCCGCCCCCCTTCCAACCCAACTTTCCCCTAATTTTCAAGCGTCCATGTACTTCGGGACTTTCTCAAATCACCATCCCGCAGTCAGGACGCAAATGTGTAAGTCGTTAATCGTGAGGGTCGTAAAAATGGCGGAATCTCTCATTTCCCGCCCTTTCTCTTATCCCATCCACGAACTCGCCAGGCATACATGTACCACACCTGGATGTGATCGTCGGCGCTGAAGAGCTGCTCGGGGAGCTTGGCCTTGTTGACCTTGGCTATTTTTCTGATGATAGCCTCGGCTTCCTTCACCTTTCCTTGCGTGATCAGCCAGCGGGCCGACTCCGGCACCACCCTGTCGGTGCAAATAGGGAATGCAGAAGAAGAAGTCACCTCTCGGCGAGGTGATAGAACTTTTGTGTATGAGGAATTAAGGATATTACTAAAGCGACGGAAACTGCCGAAGTCTTCCTGCAACGCAATTTGAAAGGTCCTATAGGACCAAAGAATGTGGTCTCCAGACAATTGATACCAGAATTGATGTTGACATTTGCGTACAATTCAGGAAAACGCATGGCCTAATGTTTGTAATGGAACACAGTGGATCACTGTCGCTGACTTATTCTTCTGAATGTTATGGCCATTATACAACGCAGTAAGTGTAGCAAGGCTGTGAGGCAGACAAAAGACAGGACTGAAATCAGAGACTGGAATTTTACAACATGTCTCTGTCTCCTTCATTAGGCCACGATTTACGATTCTGAGATCTACAACAAACTTACAACTTGGTATCATACGCAAGTTCAAAATAAATGCCAACAACATCCCTAATTCGTCGATGTTAGTACAATTTGGTGTTAGGTAAAATGTTGCCTTAAGCCCGGCTCATGTGGCGCAAAATTGAGCGCAAATGTGGCGAAGGTCGCCATGGTTGAAAAAGTGGTCCTTTTTTTGCGAACTCGGGTCGCGAATTGCGTTCGCGATCCTGTTCACAGCGAGTGCGAATAAACTCCTGAATCCATACCATGGTCTCACTCCTTGCTTCATATTTTAATCAGGTTCAGTGGGTTTTACTTACCGTATGAGGAGAAAGAAACAAACGATCGGCACCGTTCCCACAACCTGCAGCATCCTCCAGTCCCGAATAAAGTACGCCATCACAGCTAGAATCATGTAGCCGAGGGCGAAGAAGCACTCGGCTACAACCCCGATGAAGGTGCGCCACTTGGGCCCAACGAACTCGGTACCTGGCAAAAAAAAAGAAGATAAATATGGTCATTTGATTAAACTGTACTAGTGTTTGAATGCTAACCAGGGTTGAGAGTTATCAGGCTTATGGTGGAAGATCGATCAGGAGTGGTTCTGGACGGATGCCAGCTTAAAGAATTAGGGATTTATAAACTGATTTCCGACGCCCTGATTTTCAGAAGGAGGTTTTAAAAATCTCGAGAGAAAGAATAAAACACTAACAACATGTAAACAGAAAACAAAACATCCGTTGGAATGCTCCTGAAATTGAAATAGAAATGATTCGATAATTCTTAGGATCAAATGTAAAAAGGGGGATATGGGATAGGCATAAGTTGAATGTGGAAATGTTTGCTTAATCTCAGCAAATACGAGGCACACGTTCTTGGGAGAAAGAAGGCTATTAAGAGAGAAAATGAGGACCGCAGTCCCCGTACAACTACTCCTGAGTGTCCTGGGTAGGGAGAAATCTCACCAATTACAAATGCCATGATGAAGACCCCCATGTTGGCCACGGCGAGGAAAAAGCGTAACGCGATGAATGCGGACATGTTTGGAGCGAATACGATGGCCAAGCTGAAGATGAACTGCCCACCGAGACACAGAAACAACGTCACCTTACGCCCGATCCTTCAGTAAATAAGAGATATTTTTCGTCGTTTGAAAAGTAAATTACATGAACGACACACAATACCAGATTATGTATATCCACTCTCCAAATCTGAAAGAAGGACTCTATTAACAGACAACACATCTTAGAGTGACACTCTCTCCGAATCTAGATTGTTAAAGTTTGAAAAAGAAACTTCTTCGGGTGGAGACCGAGTGAAATCTCTATTCGATGATTACAATCAGAGGCTGAGATTTGCTATAGCGTCTTGTTATTATATTAGACTTTCAGCTCCATTGGTCTACTCACATACTTCGTATTCACCTTACGGCGCCTCGATCGAAGGCTAGCTTGGTTAGTAACATTAACTCACCGATCAGCAAGTAGGCCAGTTAAAACAGAACTGACAAGCACGCCTGCGAAGAAGATAGACTGGGCAACCTCTGCTATATCCTTTTTTCCACACACTAGGTCAAACTGCAAAGTCAAACAGCCAATAAATAATGTTAATTTAAACTACCGTTCTGAGGTTAGTACATGCGCATGTCTGGTTGCAGGATTAATAATCTGACCTGACACTGTGAACTAACTGAACACGATCTCGTTGCACGGCAACAAAGTCTTGCAGGTCTGTATATTCATGTAGGAATGCATCAAATATGGGCTATATCCTCCGGGGGTGTTGCGTTTCTTTTCTCGATATGTTCGAAACGAGTTCGTAATCCTTTGACACTAAAGTTCAATGTATTTTTGTATTGGAATATCATCGGTACAGGTTCAATACTCATTCCCCTGATCATACCCTTCGAACACTGTCGTGCGGTGTTGAAATAAGCTAGGCCTACGCGGCGCCAATTCTGCACAAGTACGTATGGACGGAGTTGGACGCATGGTTGATCTATCGTACATTGTGCAGCTTTTTAAGCCTCGTAAAGTTCCGAGGCACGTAACCTCTCGGTGCGTTTTTATGCATTTAATAATATTTTTACTTTTCTTGAATAAATCGTACTCAGAATGTTGTTCATATAGTAGATGTTCATCGTCTGTGATCTTATAAAAGAGATCAGTAGAAAATTCGAAAGCTTACGTTTTTCGTCCCCCTTTGTGTGAAAACTGGAATAATAAATTTTCTTAAAAGTACCGTTTGAAATTAAACCTAAGATAAGTTGAGTAAATGTGGTCAAGGTCAATATTCGACTATTCCATACTCTTGGAAGTTATTTGCTATCTCTAAAATGCAACATAACACTGAATGGCTGCTGCTGGTATTGGTCCCCAAATGAAAATATTCGGCAAGGAGTAAAACTAAATCTGACTCGTCCGTAGTTCTCAATCCTACAACCTTTGAAAAAAACAACAAAAACAACAACAAAAAAGCAAGCACTTAATACAGTGTCGATAAATCCATGCTGTTAAAACAAGTGACGGTAACACAATTATGAACTCTACAATGGTAGTAAGCGTACTTGTGCTCTTAATCTACTTAGGGTAGGCCTATTATAAGAAAGCTTGGACAGTGAAGTGCCTTGTCACTTTATTTTTCTCATAAAAACATATGCAGGAGCTTTCACAACTTGAGTTTCGACTCCAACAATTAAAATTTACCTGCTAATTTATAACTCAGTTGTATGTGTTGGTAATTACGGGACCCATGATTTGAAGTATAATTTTTCCATTCAACAAATTTGAACCCGAAACTCTTTTATTTCGGAAAATACTGGGAAAGATTCAGTAAACTGCCACGATTGAATGATACACAGATGCAGTGAATCCCTCCCAATGTTGATGCTCGGCTGGAAACAAACTGATCCTCTCTTTGAGAAATCCCCCCTTAAGCTCTGAAACTCATCGCACCTCTATCTTTAACCTTTATCGGACCAGACGGTGACTTATGTTTTGGGGCGCTTCGCCCGGGTAGCAGGTGGTATACGGAGTCAGGTGCAAGGGTGCCTGCTTTGAGGTCATACATGTACATCAAAAATCTTGGTGGACGCAAACAGTCAGCATCACGTACGGCAGCAAATAAAAACCCACCACACGCCAGTGCACAAACAATTCCGAGGAAGAATCAGATTTTAGGTTACAAATGCCATCATGGCAGTCTGTAAGTCAGGCTTATCAAAGCATAACCTTCGGGTCACAAGTTTCTAGGGGTCTAGGCTACTTGTGTTATATCTACAGCAGGTATCTGATTCAGTGTTTGCAGTCCTGTATCACGAAATGCTCGATGAGTTGCTACAGATTTCTGATTATTTGAAAAAAAGTGCCTGAACCACTATGGTATACAGCGCCTTATTTCATTGTTATGGTGTCCAGAGCCCAACTGTATTGTAATAACAGAGAAGCAGTTTACGGACGATCAGTGCTGCAACATAGGCCTGGATAGCTCACAAGTACATTTTGTACGAAATACCTTGATGGTTGCAATGGCGAATGAAGATCCATTATGTTTGGAAAACAGTTGACATTCTCAATTCAAATCAGTACTAATAAGTAGTTTGCCTAGAGGTTTCGTGAAGGTATTACCAAAATGTTGCACAACACATTGCGTGTACGGTCGGTTGACCTTCGTATTCGACTTCTATTCGCGCTCACAGCTAACAACACGCTGCTGCATGCCTTATCACATCAAGCACGTTTGCTTATTCCTCAGCTCTGGTTTTAATAATGCTAAGTGTGGCATTCAAAATGCTCTCCGTCATAACAAAGCAACTGTTTACTGATGGATGCTTGCTTTGGGAATACAGCCCACGTTTGCTTTGTCATGTGGGGGAACAGTTATCCTGACGACAGTATACAGCTTCAAACGTTGAAGACGGTCATCTTTTGTTTTTCGATCCCCGTGTGTCAATGAGCTGGTACCATAATGGAGTCTGGCGAAAAAAAAAATTCGCAAAGGCCCGCGAGGTCTACCTCTAGCTTCAAAGTTGTACAAGTATAGGCCTATGGACCTACTCTGTGATAAAAACGAAATCTCAGTCTTGGAGTCTCAGTGGTATGGTCATGGGGGCTCGAAATCAACAAATATTTCAAATTAGGAGAAATGGTGATGAAGTTTCAGCGCTGATTTGGCCTGTGTTTCGTGTCAAATTCTACAGAAGCAAAGCCGGATAGTTCATGACCATTAATCTTTGTCACAGGCCAAAGTTTCTTCTAGTAATTTCACTATAAACGTGCAATGCGTTACCGTTATGGGTGAGTCGTGGTGGGTAGATGATTATTTGGACCTATATGAACACCGCACCAACTTGGCTTGTACTCCATACCAATACCACTAGACGTCGAGACAAAGGTCTAGTTCGGGCGGCCTGTTCTTAACACGGGTTTCTTGTTTTCGCGCTCGAACAGCGGGAACACGACTCAAGAACACTGTTCTCGGAACAAGATCACACCACCTCCTTGTCAGGGTTTTACAGGAACTCACGGAAAAACTCATGAGATTTTGATTTTTGAACAGCTGCAAAAAGTAGAGATGGTTGCCATAGGCCATGTAGACAATGGGAAGTTTTGCAAAATTAACATTAATTATTTTCCGTAACACAGAAATGAATGTTCCTGTTTATATAGAAAAGAATTCAGCCCATCCAAACCTTAACTCTCGAATAACGTACATGGACGCCGCCATGTTGCAGTTGCTTGTGATAACCGGTTGTTTGTTCGCGGCGTTCGAGCGGCCAACCAACGCGCTCGACAAATCGAGCTGTAGTGAACATACGGGAACAAGCCGCCCGAACTCAGCCAAACTGTGCAAAGTCTGACCTCCGCCTCTGTGGTCTCTTTAATTCGCAATGGACTTAGCCGTGCAAACTTCCAGCAAACTACAATCAGGGGCGGGTCCAGGATCTTTTGCGGGGGGCCGAAATTTAATTCCGTTGCTGAAGTCGTTTAACATCTTTGTTTTGTTCTAGACCGAACATTAATAAGACCCCTACGGGGTTTATGTTTTCGTGGGGTCCAACCTTTTCACGTAGGCCGTGACATAGGCCAAGGGATTCCTGGCTCTGTGTCCCTCCCCTCAGCCTGAGTGAAATTTTGATATATACACTGACAGGCTGTGTACAAGTCACGCTTCATTTGCTTTCAGTGCCTAAGTAAATAGTGTCCCGTGTAGGACGAGTTTTCAATGCGCTTATTCAGCCTTTGACACGTGCGTCAACGAGAGCGGTTATAGTGTTACGCAAGCAAATCACCAAATATGGCCATATGCTGCAAGAAGGCTGGATGAAATTATGCCAAATTCTTTCTTTTCTTTCTCGATAACCTTCGTCCCCATTTATAAGGACAGCGCAGACGTGAATATGCTGATTTGCACGTATCGGGAATTACTATAAAGAGGGGATTAAAATTTTGAATCCAAAATGACGTTCACCAATTTCTCTTTCCGACATATTCATGTACAAAAATCAGTGTGAGTTATGAAGTCCCAGCTTTTTGCATTAAACGTTGACCTTTTCTTGCGCAGCATGGTTCCCGTCTCGTGCGAGTTCCACACGGGATTAACGATCAAAGGCTCAGCAATCACACAGCGAAGCTCAGCAGCCAAAAACGTCACAATTGAAAGATCTGAATAGAAAAACACAAAGTAATCCATCAACGGTCCAGTGCTTTGCTTTTATCCACAAAAGAAAAGTACCGCCGTAACTTTAACCAAGAAGCAAGCCTTTATCGGGGTCATGAAAGACTGGCCTCAGCTTTGTGATGCTGTGTAGGTACAAGAAATGAACCGTTGTACATGCGTGTGTGACGCACTCGTGCCTCAATGCAACACTGGCCACATTTCAAGCGTATCAGTCGTAGATATCAGGTATCCCCGTATAATAATTATTACTATTTCCAAAATGAAAGCGTGTCGAAAAGGCAATGAAATTTTACTGAATCCTGGAACTGTGCCCTATTCATTCTCATTTTCAAGATTGCTTTGTATAATTATTTTTCAGATTTTACTGGAAATGGTTAAACGTTGACAACTGAAGGCACTGGCATTATTGACTATTTCCTGCCAAAACTGCAATGTCATTTTGAGTGGCTGTTGCAGAACATTTTTTGTCTCTATGCAAACTTATTGTGACCCAAAAAAGGTCAATGCCACATTTGAACAGCGTGGCATTAAACGTGACCAAATTTTCTCATACCGTTTGGGAGGGATGTCGTTCAAAGACGCCAAAGATATATTTTCCTTTTACATGAATTTACAACGTCATGTGTAATTAGGCCTGCAAAATTGACGCTGTGGTAAAATAACACGCCAAACTGAATTTAAACGAAGTTGCGCGTCACCCGTAGTGGAAACTGGTGTCAAAAGGTTGCAAAACTAATCGGAAATAAATCAGTCGTCTGTTCTTTATTTATCGCAATCATTAAAAAGCTGTCTTTCTTTTCTTTCTTCCTTTTTATGTACGTTTTTCAAGGTCCATTGGAGTTCTTCCAGGCGTATGAAACTTAACTTCGCATGTGTAGTACTCTTGAACGGTCCCACCATATTTGTATTGCACACGCCGACTTCACGTGGCAAATTGACCCGGCAAAAATATAGAATTTCGTAGTGTCGTGGTTAATGCATACCTCACCTGCTGTGTGTTTGATCGCCATATTGCAGAAAATGCACAATAGAATTGGGCAGCGATGTTTATATGCCATCTGAATTCATCACCCCCTCTCTTTCACTGAGTTTGTGTCCAAAGTGCACGGCATTCACGGAATTTGAGCCTCTTTTAACACATTCACACCAAAAGAATTGACGGCGACGCCTCAACAAAATTCACATGGGGAAAGAGAGCCTGTCAAACTCCAAAGCAATCATTAATAATTTTGTGTGAGGCAAAGTTAACGGCTTTGGCGAACTCTTTATTTCAATTTCTCGCCCGAATTAAATTGAAATCAGCTGCAAGCAGTAAAATATGCAAGTGTTATCGTCATGTTTAAGCCCAACCAGATCAAATGGAACTTTTGCTTATTTCGAAGTCTACATGTTTTAAATTTAAATTTAATTTAACCCCAAAATTGTTAAACCACACAGCGGCGTTAATTTGCAGGTGGCTACTTTCCAAAGGCCGTCTTATTTACCAGATCCTCCATGGATTTTGACAAAGAGTGTAACAATACAAAGTTCTTTTCTTTCTTTCTTTAAATTCTGTGCGGAGGACAGAGAGGGCACAGGAATAGATCGAGGGTGTGAACCCCCAGTTATGCAACTGGTCGCGCTGTTATGTGAAAGAGAAAAAAGTGTTACACCTACATCTTGAACCACCGTGGTATGATACTGGGAGCGGTCGTATTCCCACCCTGCATCACATTCCATAGTCTCGTTCCAAGCCGTCATTGTCATTGTCTCATTATACCCAGCACCCGATGAATTGAATGCTGCCATATTATACTCGTCCTCCAGGACGAAACGCCGGCACTGCAGGAACTTCCCTTCCTCGTCTCTCGGTATGGTCAGGTTCTTGCGGGCCTCCAGACACTCCGAGTCAGCGCCCGGGGCACCGCCAGCAAAGTCACTGCAGTTGGGCTCTCGGAGCTCGGGGACGGCGCACCAATGATCCGTATCCGGCGCGAGAAAGACCTGGGCGAGCTGGTGGTAGCTCATGGGTACGGCCATCAAGCATACGATAAAAAAGGTTAACTTCTGGTACCGACCAAACGTACCAATGTACCCAAGAATTTCGTCAAAATGCATATTCCCTCTCTCTTTTTTTGTCGCAAATTTTTGAAAGGCAGACTGAAGTTCAAACAGACTGCTTATGACCGCACATCTAAGTCGTGTGTGTGGTACTCAAAATGTGTTCGTGATGTACCAGGAATTCACCTTTCACTCATTTGGCACGGCACATAAACGCAAACAGGTATGACAAAGGTATTAGGACTAGACTCCGATCAAGTCTGCATTAAGAACTTCCAAAACGCGTGCCGTAAACTTTCTGACGAGGGAAAGTGTCATTCCTCCGATCATGGACCTGAAGGAGAAAATGTCCGAAGGTTTCCTTCTACAAAGAAGGAAACAGCGTGCTGCACATTATTAGCAGATAAAAATGGGACATTGATTTGTATTTTGTGTCACTCTAGAACGCAAGTCTGATTTTAGCGCACGGCACCGTTTTCTCAAAGCATAAACGGCAGGTTGGCATAAACATTCAGTCGAGTCTGTATTAGGCAAGTACTTTGTGGTTAATTTTGCAAATGAATTCGTATAAGCATACGGGGCATGACTAAAATTCAGACTGGAATAAACACTAGTACCAACAGGCAAACGGGGATCCGGAAGCCCGCCCTCTTTTTGCGCCTGTTCACAGCGTTCGCTAAATTTGAGAGAGATTTTGAACAACTTATGAGAATAAATAGTTGCTAAAATATTTAAATTTAAAAACCACTGAATTCCATAACAAATCCTGAATTCCCATCAATTAATATACCCCAGGCGCTATACTCGACAAGGACATTTTGGAGACAAAGAAACAATGGTGATCGATTACAGCAAAATGTCAATGTCGCAGCTGACAAAACGACCTTTATACGACAGAAGCACGCGTGGGCACAACAACCTTAAGACGTGGGTGGAATATTGGGTGTCGTATTCAAGGGTTCCTGCCTTATCATCGATTCGCATCTTTCCTGCAAACCATTCCTCTCAGGCAAGGTATACAAAATCGACTCATACGCAGTGACGTTGGTTGGGTGTTCATAATTAGTTTTAAAGGAACGTAAACCCAAACCACATTTTCATCGGCACTTAAACAAAACTACGATTTGTCCCCTTTTGTGAATCCTCATTCCTTTGAGCTTATTTATTTTTTGTTAAAAACCAGACGAATTCAACCGTTCCAAAAAGAACTAAAAAAAACAAAACCACGAAAACCAAACCTACAGCCTGATGTTTTCCCAAGTACATTACCCGCTCCGAGCGGAACAAAAAAGGGCTTTTTGGGGTATTCACCACATGAGTAAAATATATGCGCGTTTGACGCAGAGCACACCGCGTATTAAACTAACTTATTATTCCGGCATGTATGGTCTCTGCGTACACACAGAACGCGTGCAAGAACCCGCTTGTAACCACCTATCTTTCTTTTCGCCTATTAGGGGTGCATTTCAGCTAAGCTCGGGGCGGATATCGCTATTGTGGTATGTAAATTAAACAACATTTGGCACAATCGGCATGATTGGTCGCTGTAAAGTTTGAGCAGACGCAAAATGATTTCTCTGAGTCGAAAACTCCAAGCAAACAAAAATAAAAACGATTATGCAATACCACAAAACTTTTTAGCTCAGTGATTTATTCATTTTTCTTACAGACTCTAATCCAGTTTCTTTTAAAATATAAAAATAATTGGTTGATACGGGAATTTTCGCTTTAAAATCACCTGTTTTGAAAGACCAGGACCTAATAACAGTAAGCATTATATACCCCGCCAAACATTAGGATCGTTTTTACAGGGCTTCGCTCGAAAATACGGTCCAATCAACGAAATTCTTGCTAGGTTTGCAGCAATAAGTCGTTTGCACTAGCTGTACTCATGATTATCAAACATAAATAATTCATCAGCCTAAATATGGATATATGACCAAAAGAATGTGATTTATATCAATACTATTCGCTTGTCTTCATGAAAGGTACACTGTCCAGTAGCTAATACGATCTTAGGTAGTCTACATACTAAATGTATTCATGAAACCAGTGGTAAATGCCGAAGCAGCACGAGAGAACAAATTCGTTAAAAAGCAAATGGAAGACAAATGATTTACCATTAAAACTCATTAACTGCGCTGCGCTTCAATATTGCGTTATAATCACTATCGTTGCTACAGAATCAAACCAAAATTACCAAAAGGCTGAATATGTCACACAAAACACGAGGGAAACTTCAACGTTCATGTCAAATATAAAAGGAGCAATAAAGCAAAACGGGAGCGGGGGTCGAGATTTTTGTTTCTCTTTCTGTCTCTTCAGTGGGGAGGGGAAGGAAATAGAGTCCTGTCCCCTCGATCACCGCAATGCAAAATAAAGACACCTGTCTCTCTGAAAAGGATGCATAACAACAGCAAAGTAAAGAGATCAAAGGGCGCTTTTAATCCTCCATTTTCAATGGCTTTACCAGAGGGGGGTGTGAGGGGCAAGTTGCCCTCAAGAAATATTGACAAAAAGCGCCAAACTTCCTTTATGAATGAAAACAAAACAAAACAAAACAAAAAACAGCCCCCCCCCAAAAAAAAAAAACAGGAACTCAGTCACCTCCCTCCCCAAAGCATCGTGGCTCGGAAGTGTCCACAAAAATCCTCCACAAATCCAACTCTTGTTATTCGGCAAACACCATGGTACACTCTCTGTGCAAACGAAACAGGGCCCAAGCGAAGTGCTAGCAGAAGAGAGAGGGTTGTTGATGCCCGTATTCATCTCCAAACTGCAGATTAGGTGTTGGAGTTCATTAAATTACTCTTTTATAACTTTCTATATAAACGTAATAATCCTGCACAGATCTTGATAGTATTGCTTAACCCTAACACTCCTCAGTCCTCCAACAGGTGAAGGATTGAGGAGGTTACGGTTAAAGATCTAGCGATAGCTGACAAAAAGTTATGAAAGTCATGAAATGCTGTAGACTTGAAAATAAGAACAACGCTATCCAATAAAAATACCATTTAAACATATTCAACCTATGAAATAGAACACACTCCGAAGTTGAAAAGTAAAGCTCACAGGCGTATCTTGTAAGGTTGTTAATGCAAAACTATGTACAATGAACAGTGTGGGCCCCAAAAAATCTCTTTTTACATAGCATTTGAAAACGAGGTGGGTAGGTGGTAAAAAAGGCAATTTTTCAAGCAGATTCAGTATGCAACTAAGAGTTAACTGGTTAATCATTACTAAAGCAAGGCAGGTTGGGTGGTGTTTTTCCCAATGAAAAGTGCAACTAGTTGCATGCATAAAATACGTCCTTTAAACTGTTTGCACCACATCAAAAATAAGATATTGAATAAATTGGACAAAACATTAATTTCTATTTTCCCAAATTCACGTTTTCCTAACATCACCCCAAAAGTTTAGGGCTGTGCACTCGAACAAGCATAGGTAGGGAGAGAGGAAACATAACTGTTTTTTTCCTGGTCTGATTAAGTCTGGCTCTCACCCGACTTTCCATGAACGAAAATTTGCCTGACAGATTTTCCGTTTCGACCTGGCATGTCTGTAAAACTGGGCCCGGATCTGGCACAAAGCTAACTAAAACGAATACAGTTAAGCATATGTCTGCTTTTGAGTATATGTTAGAATTACATATATTTGAATGTATACTTGTAAGAACTTCTCTTAACTTTGTTACTGCAAAAAAATAAAAAATAAAAAAATAAACAAATGAAAATGAATAAAATGCTTGTCACATGAGGACGCCCTTCAAAACTTGTGAGGATAAGCTTAATAACGAACTGCGCTACTTGTAGATTGAAATGCTGTTTTGTTTACATATCGGTAGCTCTATGGTTCAATACTAAAATCAAACATTGCCAACACAATGTCATGCATGGAGTATAAAGATAAGTAGAACAATCCAGAAAACAAAAAAACCCCAAAACATTAATAAATTTAGAAAAATAAATTGGGGTGTTATCCAGAGAATGACTGGCCTTCTGTTGTAGGAGCACTTAAACTTACAGGTGCTTATTTTCAAAACTGCCATTTGTGTGCTATTAATGCAATGTCATCTTTTGTAAGGGTCAAATGTAGTTAACAATAATGATGAGGGCGTTATTGTCGACATGGGCTCTTAAAAAACTCAAGTTTACAGTTAAGACTATTTCAACGCCGCAATCAGCATAATTATATTTAGCACAGATAAGTATTGTACGCACTTTCACTAAATCTTAAAACTGAAAAGGAAGCGCTAACTGGGCCAGATCTCATTCTTCTCCACACCCACTGAGTCAGAGGATTTTTGCCAATCTCAAAAGCCATCAGCACAGCTAGTCACCTATCTGATCTGAATGTTTTAATTTTCTGAATTATCACAGTTCAATATTCATGGAAATATTTTGATCTTCCTAAAGCCTACAGGCTACTGATGAGATTAAAAAATCACCTGCGAATACATCTAAAACTTTCAATACATATTAGATATTTCTGTATGATAGGCACTCCACAGTTATGACCCCTGTGACCTCCGAGGTTTGTTTTGACGTAATATCTGTAATACGACAAAATGCATCCAGTAAAAGCTTTATTCTGCAACATTTAAGGGAGGCAAAAACAACGAGATGTAATCTGGCACATCTTGCATGCTTAGAGCAGGATTGTTTGCCTCCTGGGTAATTTGAAAGTTTATGCTTCTAAAATACATTGTTTATAAGGAAGGTTTAAAATGTTCCCAGAAAACCATCCATCCTTCAAACGCCCTTGGTGCACAGCTGAAATGATGTACATGTATCATCAATTCTGACTGTCAGTGAAATTCTACATGCGTGCAAACTTCACCAATCATCTGAGCACAGAAGTCATGTTTCACGTCGGTATTCAATTCCTCACAGAGCAGGGACTTCTGTGAAACATTCTTGGGTTAAATCCCACACTTGCATGAAAACTGCATCCCGGCAAATAACCAGACTTTAATAATTAAGGGTGCATCCAAGTTGGTAACTTTATCTAAGTAGTCATGCAAAAAAAGGAAAGTTCTGCGTATTGAATGCAAGTACAGAATTCTGCTAGGAAGAAAAAAATTGCACACCGATTGAAGAAAAATTAACTTTATCTAGTATATATATGAGCCTTTCTAATTATAAAATTATAATTATGCACTGATAAATTGCCTTGATTTTCTTTTTAATAAAATAGTAATTTGGCTTTTATAAAACATAATCAATGCGTAGTGAGTAATAATTTCCAAGAATACAACACATCTGAAAACAGAGTAGTAACAGTGCTGCTAACGAAGGTTAAACGCAAAAGGAAAGGTGCATGAATATGACCTGCATCTGTTTTTGTTTTTTCATTTGCATTGTTATGTGGACTGCCCATGACAATTTCAAACAGTTGTCAAGTGATGTATATGGAAGGGCTGCGTAGCACCGTGATCAGAATATCGACAAGAATATAATATAAAATCAGTGTTCTGAAATATGCGATGGTCGAGCTTTCGGTAACTGAGTACCTTCTTCAGGGCAAGCAGCTTAACTGAGTACCTTCTTCAGAGCAAGCAGATTGCCGAAAGCTCAGCAATCACATATTTCAGAGCACTGATTTGATATTATGTTCTTGTCAAGTGATGTATGATGCGCACAACCACATACATGTTTGGTCCCAAAATATGTTATGGTATTACCTGATCAAGAATTCGTTGAAGTGAGCTTCTTACCTTAAAAACATCTACTATAGGGTTACAAATTTGGGCAGTAAATATAAAAACCTTTCAAATTTGATCTTTTCCAACAAGAAAGAAGAACTTGAAAAAGAAATGCCCACTAGGATTTGAACCAAAAACACTGACAATAGTCATCCTTTTCCTTACCCACTACACTCCTTGAGCCAGCTCAACTGATCCTCTTTTTTCACTTCTATTGTACCCATGTCTCCACATAATGATATTGAAGGTGCCGCCTAACTCATCAGGTAATACCATAATATATTTCAGTCCTGTTCTAAACAGGGACTATATTCTCAGTAAAACTCTCACTTGTTAACAGCGGTGGGAGGGTGGATACTTGGTTTGGGTTTGCTCAAGTAAGCTTTTGAAACAGCTGCCGGTTTATCTGTTGTATTTTTAGCCGTGCCACTCTGCTCAGCTCACAGCACAAAAGCCTTTTGTGTACTGTGAGAATACTCACAGAGGCAGAATCCAGTACACCTGTCAGCATGAATGTACCCATGGTATGGAAACATGCCATCAAGTAGCAATCTGGGGCCACAAGTAGCCACTTGTTTGAACTCTACTTTTGCATTCCAAGAGACAATCTATAACTCAATATGGGAGGTGGGCAAAATCAGTGGGGGCCAATATTTTGCGAATTCTCCCGGCCGCTCCGAGGGTCGAGGCTACATTTTGGTGTTTATGAATGCACAACTGGAACAAAGTGGAAACAAAATATTGGGGGGGGGGGGGCATGGCCCCATTCCCCACTACCCATCTGGCCTTGCTGCGTTCTGATACACTGTTCAACATCGTAGTGTCTGCACCATTCCAGTGGAGTTGGAGAGTTCACAGGTGCTGATGTGAAGGTGGGAGTTGTTGGAAGTTTGGACTACTGAAAAACAAGCTGGTGGCTAAGAGTTGCAATTTTGTTCATCGGCACACCGATAATAGCTGAGTTGAGATCGTAATATGAAACTACTGCAAGACTTGGCACTGACTCAACAGACAAATAACTAATTGTTTTAAGAATTGGAAGTCTACCTTTGTGAACAACACATCTTTTCACTGTCCAAAATATACCTCTAATCAGTTTAACCGAGTTGCATACATCAGAAAACCAATGGACATGTATGAAAAATCAAAGGAATGGACATACAGCTTGCATGGCGTCCTTTTATAAAGCTCTCTTAATGCTCACACTGTGATGCAGTGTAATGATGCATATTGTACATGTTGAACCATAAAATTGGAAAACCATTACTGCCCTCTTGGAAATCTCTGTAAATACGAGCCACACAGTGTAACCAAATGTGGCATACCTTTGAATCGGTTCACACTTGGCATAAAAGCAAACAAGTGACGTCGCATCAACTCTTTGACCTGCAAATTTGCAAATGGCGGATAAATTTCAACTACAGCAGGTTTCACCACAAATGTTCTCCGACATCAAAGTCGCTTCACTTTCCCCCTGCATTATAAAGCAGTCTTTTGCCTGTGAACACACCCTATAACCCCCCCCCAAAGAAACAACACCAACCCAGAAATGGACCTTTCCCACACCACCTACTCATTAGCGCTTCGGTTCTTGACACCGCCCACAGTTGTTCATCACCTCGGGCTGGTAATGCTCGACTTGAATGGTGGAAAAACCGATGTGGTACTTGGTGCGGACGAGCTGGGATGCCTCTTGTAGGACCATTTCTGCATCTTCCCCGGCATCTACAAACACAACACACAGCTTGATGTAAGTAAGGCTGAGATCATTTAAACCTTAAACCACTTACATCAGTATGGACATTTTCTTAATGTGGGGGGTTCGATATTTTACAGTACATCATATCTGTGTCTGTTTTGGGGTCCGAGTACTTTGCAACACCAGCTCGGTGTATATTGCATGCTCACAGGAATTTCCCCACGTTAGAAATCTTCACTGCCAATTCGCACGTGACCTACTGGGATTGTGATGACGTTCACGCAAGAACCCGCATGTTCATGTACAGTGTATGTAGTGCTATTAAACAGAGCATAGTACTCTTTCTTGCCGCTTTCATGTCGTCTTCGACAAGGGCGATTGTCTGATCATGTATTCAGGTACATGTGAACCGCCTTACCAGGACGAGTTTGAAGGTCTTGGTTTTCATTTACATATTGCAATCGCAAGTCAGCACAACAATGATCATCATTTATTTGGATGCCAGATGTGATTGACAATAAATCCTTAGAAGTAAAGACTAGCAGATGAGTCTCCAGCTTTTCTTCCTTTAATAAGGGGGACGGACCCCAAGACTCCGGTGAATTACTGGGGTAGGCCACTGTATTCACCAACATTAACAACATGCTGCCAGGTGATTTTAACCACTTGCTACTGGGTGGTTTGTAAATGCAGTGCACATAATTGGAACTTTTTCAAGATTTTAAATTTTCAAAATTCTTCAAAAATTCATCATTTCAATTAATGGATGCATAAACCCACACGAATTACTGTCTGGTGGCCACTCTAGGCTGACAGACAAAATCTATTGACGCCTGAGTATTTCAGCCAGGCCTGCAGCCTTGTAAAAAGAGCCCAGATTGCGTGCTGTTATGTAACTTTCTTTTGTTCACGAACCTAGCACAGTGCGCTGCTGACCTCTTTTAGCGTGCAGTGGTCCTGTGTTGCTCCGCTGCAGTGGTGGAGCGCTTTTGTCCCCGGTGGTAATCCGCTCGCACTAAATGCCCTAAACCGTGGTATACTGTTTCAAAACAAGGCTGGATTATCTCCACTATTGAGAGTGAAAAAAATGTCAGTAATGCGCAGCACCCTGATCTTTTGTTCCGAGTATGGTCTTTTGCAATAAGGCCCAGTTCCCTTTGTCCAATTTCGGAGACCCCAGGCACACGTATAAACACACGATGCCCGAAACCAGGCTCCCCGGCAAGAAGTGGTTAAAAATGCAGTGCAAACACATATGGGCGATTTTCAAGATTTTCCATTTTAAAAATTCTTCAAAAATTCATCATTTCATATAATGGACGTTTACACCCACACAAATGACTGTTTGGTGGCTACTCTAATCTGACAGGTAACCTTCATTGACCCCTAAATATTTCTGCAAGGCCTGCCGCCCTGTAAAGAGAGCCCAGAATTGTGAGGTGTTGCATAATTTCCTTTGTTCCCAGTAAATGCGAGTGGCATCTTTTCAAACGTGGTTCAATTAGCATGCAGCAGGGCTGTATTGCTCATCAATGGGGCCCCGGAGCATTTTTGTCCGCATGCTAATCCGCAGGGCACGCTATGCCCAAAACAGTGATGGATTACCTTTGAAAAATGTAAGCTGAAAAATGATGGCAATTCCCAGCAGCAGGTCTTTTGTTACACGTGCCAGCTCTTTTGTCCCACTTTGGGCACCCTGGCTCTGCGTATAAACCCATGGTGCTCAAAACGGGGTTCCCCAGCAGTAAGAGGTTAAGCATCTGAACAGAACCTAATTGCTTCACATTTCTTTCAATTTATTGGCATTTTGTCCCTTTGTTCTGTACAGACACAGTTAAAAGATAAGTCAACAGATTTCCTTCCTCAGGAAATTTATAGTTCCAAGTATTTTTTTCTGTCATCTTCATGGTGCTATTTCCATTTCCAAATTCCGCACGGGATGAAAGGGGGCAGCAGGGCCACGAACAGCTAATTGAAAAAGTTCAGGTGCTCCTCCACAAAAGACATTTACTGATTTCATTGTTCTCTGGTGAGTGGCACACCTGCCAACACTGGAAAATCAAAAACACCCATTGTAGGAGCCCATATCAAAACAACGATGGCACGAGCTGTTTGCCTAAGCACACATGTACATGTGTAACTGTCATTTTGACACTGCAAACAGTGCCCTCTTTTGCTGAGAGACTTCCTCTTCATTTGTTTCTTTTTTATGGAAATGGGAATGTTCCAATTATCTGGCCTTTAAAGACTAAAGGATCGGAATGGAGTGCCAGTTCAAGTACTGGTTGTAAGAAGATTTAGTGTACTTGCTCCGTAGTTGCTCCTTCAAGCTTGTACGGGTATCACAGACCTTATGAGGACAAAGTTTGTTCCTGAAACATGGCTAAGGCTTCCTTTACAAAAGAAAATGTCCCCTCAAATTGAAAATGGCCTGGGCACACATTATGCTTACACAAGCATAATGGCACACAGGTCATGAATATCATTCGGTTCCATACCTGGTATTCACAGGGGTATGAGACGAGTTATCCAAGGAATAAATCAACAATGAACAGTTGTTCTATATGGTAGGATTTACGATCATTCTAAATGAAATTACAGCCTACCAAACACACGTACATGATTTGATATTTCTAGTGAATTCATGTCAAGGTTTTCATTTGCTTTCCAAAGCAGTTATTGGATACCCCTTTCTCCTTTCAATGTTTATTCCCTCCTTTTAATTAAAAGGCATGTAGTTATGGGCAGAAAGCAAGAAAAAAATCACCCAAACTCTGCACTCACCAATGCATAGATGTACAGCCATGGCGGCCTGGCTGGTAGTCAAGGACCAGACATGAAGGCTGTGGGCCATTCTGACATGAGGTAAACTCTTCAGGTCTGCATGCAGGTCATGGAGGTTAATGTGCCTGGGGACACCTGTTGCCGTGGAAACCAAAGGAGAAAGAAAATGTTGTGTTTTGCTGAGCAATTCACTCTGACAGTCAGAACTTATAATATTGTAACGAAAATACAAGGAATGATTAATTTCCGGTAAGCACACTTTATTCTTCACTCTGATAAAATGTGGGTTCTTTTCAGGAATGTAATTCTTAGGAATTACGGAGGATAAGAAATATGTTTTAAGTTAACAACTCATACTTCAATGACAAGAATTAAGGCCAACACCAATGACCATGTGTATGGATAATGAAGCCTACGGTAAGTTACTGGTAGAATAATTCTTAAAAGATAGGACTTATACAAGTTTAATTTGTCGACGCTCTCCAGGTCAAGACACTAGGAATATTTTCATGAAGAATAATTATTTGGTACAGTGGTATGCGACCATCAGTGCACTGCGAGTGATATTTTGTTATGAGACGCGAACTCCTTGCGCAACATACGCGCTCCAGATGCTATAAAAGACAAGCTAAGTTTGGACTTGGCACTCAGTTTCAGACTTGGTTCAGATCGCGACTGGTTCT